ATTTGTCCAAAGGCTCTGTTCATGGGCGTGAGGCATATTGTCAATTGTGAAGTTGGTGCCTAATATCAATTACTGAAATTTGAAGGGTGCAAAAGTTAATCGGGATGGGCTTGTCACGTTGCTACGCGAATGCAAAGGTTTGGTGATGTTGGACGTCAGAGATTGTTCTGGTTTCGATGAGAACAACGATTAAATATCAAAGCTTGCGTCTCATATTAGTAAATTTAAGTGCGAAAGGGTTCTAAATTTCTTGAATTTCTTTGTGGTATGGACAATTTTGTTCTTTTTGTTGATGGATACTCATTTCATGTGCATGTGGAGGAGATGTGGGATGAAATGCTGAATGATTTGTGCGATGCGTTCAATGATTTGGGCGACGAGGAATGAAGAACTATTTGATTGTACTAAGCGATATCTCATCTTTTTTTATATTTACAACATTGAAGAGCAATTATGTGTGTTGAGTGTGGAGTGGTGTGGTGTTCATCTTGTGTTTTTGGACACTGTACTCTAATGAGGGCTTGTTATAAGTTCCTATCTTGATTTCATTATAAAATGTGTGCTTAATTTGGAAAATGGCCATTCTAAATTCCTTCGCTACATTTTGTGTAATATCACATGTGCTCGCGATTGTTCTTCAGTCTTGCCTCTGCCTCTGTTTCTATCTTAACATTCCCTAACCACCAAAGGTTTTCCTAGCTAAATTTCTTTGAGGTTCAAGAAAAGTTTCTTGGTGAAAGAATGTTGGTTGCAGTAGCTTAACAACATGCACAACCAGTAGACAAATGAAGTAATATGTTATATTTAAGAATGAGATACTACTTCTCATCTAACACATGTTGTTTGAATTCTCATTTTGAATAGTTCATATATCAATGTCATATGACCTCTGATACCTTCAATAAATTTCAAAACACAGCTGCAAAGTTCTCTTCGTTGTCTCGTTAGACTGTTTTGTATCCAATTTTTCTTCAAGAAAGTAAATTGCTATACAAGCAATTTTATATTATGAAATTCAACATCCTTTGATCCACAAAATGTTGAGGGATTTTGTTGTTGTTGTTGTATTTATGGGTTTAACCTGTATTATTTGTTATAAATAAAATTCATTTTTTATTCTTGCCCAATGGGCTAATAGCTGGAAATCATTAGAATGGGAGGTATTAGAAAGAATTTAAATTCTCATTCCCTAATATCGCATGTATAAATAAAATAATTGAAGAAATAACTCTAGCCCCGCGCGGCTTTACTTTCTAAATACATTTGGATATTTTAAAAGTATAGCCGTTCGGCTATACTCTTTATATATTAATATATTCGAATATTTTAAGGGTATAGCCGATCGGCTATAATCTTTGAATATATTTGAAACAAACACGAAAGCTTGCACCGGCATAGGACGGAGCTTGCAGACGCAGTCAAGTTTCGGCTGCTTCGTCCTCCTTGTTTGGCACCAGAAAATGACCCAACCCACCTAGGAGGCCCGCCCAGCCACCTAGCGCCTGCCTAGCCGCCTAGCGCCCGCCTAGCCGCCTAGCCCCCGCCTAGCCGCCTAGCCCCCGCCTAGCCGCCTAGCCGTCCGCCTAGCCCCATTTTTTGAACACTGCGATTGACTGAAAGTCTGCAACCCGAAATTGAAAAAGTTTACCTGCAATTTTGAGCTTGAGATTGAGATTTGGAAGCCGAAGCAAGCACAAGTCATGGGAACCCTAAATACAAAATTTGCTGACTTGGTGTCTGTCTTCGGTGGAAGGAAATGATGAAGCTATCCCAACATGGAGTTTCTATGGTCTTGCCAATAAAAAGGTTCGGTTTTTAGGCCCCAATCTCAAATTCTGACTATTTATTTCTGGTTTGGTTAAGGAATAGATCGATTGGTTTGGTTATTCTTGCTTGAAACTTGATAAATCTTTATGCATTCAATATTCATCCATTGATGGTTCTTCTTGGTTGGACTGCTTTTCATTCTTTGGATATTGCATTTCTGTTATAGATTTTGACATTTGATCATGCCCTCTTGTTTGCTGATAGAAGAAAAAAAAGAAAGAAAGATTTGTCTCCTCCTCCTCTTGCATAGGGACACAAAACCAACCCACGAAAGAACAGAAAAAATAAATAAATAAATAAATAAAAATGACACCACCTTAGTCCTGACCCAAATGACATGTGGAAACTGTCAAGCTAACTGTAGGGAAACCCGAGAGGCAACAGCAAACATTTTCTATAGAACTGAACCTACCTATCTTAGAAGATGGAGGAGCAGAAGAGTAGAAAATCAAATAGCTTACCATATATTTGTTGCTGGTTCTTCCTCACATATAATAGCAGGGTTAGGCCCAGGATCAGCAGTCCAGTAGACAACACAGTACTGGTTACTATGATCTTTGTATGTGTCCTCGATCTAGGACCAGGAATGAAGTATTTGAAAGCAGAAGATTGAGGAGTCAGAAATTCATAAAGAAGACATAAAGAAGAAATCTAGGCCTGGATTTCTTATATTTGTGTAGTTCGAACAAAATAAATATAAAAAAAGTCTTTGATAGGAGTTCAATGTTCACTCTTCGCATTTTTGCAATGGAAGATGTTGGTTTAGTTGAGGCTCATGTAATCTCTCTTAATATCAAAAACAAAAAAACAAATCCATGTTTTTACACTTGGTCGCTCCTGGCTCTAATTGTTTCCCTCCTTGGCTGATCCCACATGAAAAAAAGGCTACATGATCTCAATCAAAACTAACATTACTATATTCACCCAAAGATATCAATCAGGAAATAAAAGATGGCAATCGCAGGCCATATAAGTTGAACCTTTGAACATCAGCACTATGAGCCAGTTTGGCGCAGCACTGCCTTCAAAGCTATCATATAACCATATTTTGATCTTGCCATCCACCGATGTTGAAAAGACAACTGCGGCATGAAGCATGAAAACAAGTGTTGGATAATATATTGCAGGAACCGGAAAGTAAATCAGATGATTCAGAACAAAAACTTCACCAGAACCACAACATCAATACCCAAAGTGGCCCTTACATGGACATTTTATTTGGTATGAGGACAGACAGAATAGACGGAGCTTCATGACCTTCAAAAGTAAACTGTCTTTGGCTACAAAATATATCCCAAACCTTAAACATACAATAATGAAACCAACCTTGACGGTCTTGTCATCAGCACAAGTTATGACCAAAAGTTGGTCGTGAGGGGAAAAGAATGCCAAAATCATTTACACTTCCTAAGTGAGCATCAATCTACGTAAGATAAATGATGGGTTGGGTTTATAGTCACGTACTCAAAAGTTGCAGTTTCCTTGAGAATTTGTGTTCTTTTTCATAACTTACTTCCAATTGTTGTTGCCTCCATTATAAGAATATAATTGCACAATGCGCTTTGCATATGCAACCCCAGTTCATTGAAGAACACGAAGGCAGTGAATCTGAACTACAAGAACTGAAAATCAGCAACTCCATACCATTTTAAGTATGAGAACATTCTCACCAAATATAGAACCATCAGGACTCTGTCGGATACGATTAACAGATACTTATGAATCTTTGACCAGAGCTTCCTGAAATAATTGACATTGGTTCAAATTTCGGATCATATCAGTAAGGTTGAGAGAGTAGTACGTAATCCAGAAGCAGATGCACCTTTAAGGCCATTGGGCCTGCATCAAGATTCCAGACTCTAAAATTTCTTGAAAGCAACTTTTTCCCTGAACTAACACATCCTATAGTCCTATGTCTCCAACACCCCCAGGTTCCGACTGAAGAATCACATTAGCAGGATTCATGAGTGAACTATAAAAACTAGTTACTGCACACGATCATTCTAAAAAGACGGGAAATTTATAAACGATGGGAGAAAAAAAGAAGAAAAAAAAAACGTAGTTTCTCATTACTTAACATAGAAGAATGACCCAACCCGCCTAGGGGGCCCGCCCAGCCGCCTAGCCATCCGCCTGGCCCCATTTTTTGAACACTGCGATTGACTGGAAGTCTGAAACCCGAAATTGAAAAAGTTTACCTGCAAATTTGAGCTTGAGATTGAGATTTGGAAGCCGAAGCACGCACAAGTCATGGGATCCCTAAATACAAAATTTGCTGACTTAGGGATTATTTCCTGTCTTGTGAGTTTTGCTACCATAATTGGAATTATTTTCTGTTTAGTTTCTCTTCCTTTTGATTTGAATGGTCTGATTATGAATTTGCTACAATGTTATGAATGCGGGGTCGAAACTTGGCTCCTTTACTTGATAGTATTTTCTAATTTTCATGCCATATCGTTAAGGAGTACCATTTTGACTTGGTTATTGTGGATTTCATATCAGTCAATATTAAAGATCTGGGAATGGGCTTGCAGTTGCATTATAATCTGTTGTTTTTTGGTGTCACTACTGGTTGGTGTAATTTGAGGAAAGTGTTTGATCCGAATCTGTTTTTCTTCTTGTTTTGCATGTGGGCAGTTTAATTAAGTGGTTGGATTCTACTTTTTACTCTGAAATCATTAGATTAGCACGTTGGCTAGCCGTAATCGGTAATTGTTTTCACTTATAACTGTTACAAATTGTCTTACTTTTATGCCTTTTGGTTTCTGTTTATACAGATGGCTGGAACTTTTGGTTTTGGCCATGACTGGCTGGGTGAAGGAGCTTTTGAGGAATTATTGTAACAAGAATTTCAGAAATTGAGGTCTCTTGTGGCTTTTGGAATATTATTATCTCTGCGTATTATGAGATTCGATAGATTGTTCTTTAAAGAAATATTCGATAGATTGTTCTTTAAAAAATATCCATTATTGAATAAATTCTCTGTAGATATGCCATCATTATGCAAAATCTGACTGAGAGGCTTAGGCCCCTTGTGGGTTTGAAAGGCTAGGATTATTGTGTTATTTGGAAATTGAGTGAAGACCAAAGGTTAAGAGGAACCTTTTAATTAACAGTTACTAATTCATGTTTCTTTTTGTGACTAATTTTTATTTTATTTTATTATTTTTTAGGTTTATTGAGTTGATGGATTGTTGTTTTTCTGGGGCTGATGAGAACAATCAGACTAATGGAGGAAATGAACTTATTTTTCCAGTTTATCCAGTCCTTCCATGCAGAGATACAATGCAGCGCTCAAGAACAAATTCCTGTGATCTAAACAGTAATCATTTCCAGCAGTCGCCTGTTGTTTCCCCAGTGGATCATGATTCGAATGTGCCATACAACATATCAGTTGATTGAATCCTTCTCTGCAGCACGTCTCCAATGAATGTCCTGCAACATGTCAATTACAACTCAGAGAACAGCATGAAGAATGTCCTTGTTCTTGTGAGAATTGATAATGTCCTTGTATTTGATAGAGGTCATGTGTTGAGCTGAACACGAATGACCGTAAAAAATTTAATCTTTTCTGTATGGTTTTGCATGTATAGTTGATGTTTTGTATGATTCTTAATTGTAGATAAAGGATGGGATTCATTGCTTAGTACCAACAGATGGCAAGACCCTCGAGGTCGATGATGAGACCAATGATTTTTTTTTAATTTGAATCAGTCTTCATCATAGACATTATATCTCCACACATAGAGAGTGCCTTATGATCCCTGTTGGATTGAACCCATACACATTTGATGCATTTCTTTGAACAGCTCCTCATTACCTTCGGCAAAAACTTTGAGATCCTTCATGAGGGTATCTAAGTCCTTGGAGCGACAATTGCTGTCAAGAATGAACCAAAAACATGCAGAACATAGTTCTTATTTCATAAGATTGTTTATGTATAGATTATAAGAAGCATAAAAAAAATGATGTTCTCACTTGTCAATGGCCTCGAGGAAATTTTGGTATTTTAGCGAAAAAGAAGGAAAAACAGCGCTTCGGCAGCTTCGCTACCTATCTCGCCATTTTGGCTCACTACATCTAGCAAGAGGAGAGAGAAATTCAAGGCTCACCAAATCTGAAAGCTGCGCAAGTGAGGAGAGAGAGAGAGAGAGAGAGAGAGAGAGAGAGAGAAGAAAAAGAAAGGTTCGGTGGTGGGCTACTTTTGATTTTGAGTTATTTCTTTAAATTTTTTTAATGAATTTAAAATAATAAATATTTGAGGTTAGCTAAAATAGAGAGCATTGCTGGAGGAACCACCTTTTAAGTGGTTAGCTATTTTAACTAGAATTTGGGTAAAATTTGGAGACTCTCCTGGAGATGCTCTGACAAAGTATCCGAATGGCAAACCTGGCAATTGTATGCTCTCATACTGTGAATGATGTTTCCAAGGCACATTCAAAATTGCTAAAAGCAAAATTATCCAATATTTTAACAGTATAGCCGCACGGCAATACCTTTTAAACACATTTGAACTTTTTAAAAGTATAGCCGCGCAAACTGATATATCTCGTAGCAGAAGAGCAAGGTTGTCAAGTGCAATAAGAAAAATGCTATAATTGGGTTTAGTTCGTAATTACGATGGATACAATTTAGAAAGTAAATTACTATACAGGCAATTTTATACTATGAAATTCAACATTCTTTGATCCACAAAATGTTGGCAAATCCTTTTCTTTTTTTTCTTTTTTTGGTATTTATGGGTTTAACCTATATTATTTGTTATAAATAAAATTCATTTTTTATTCTTGCCCAATGGGCTAATAGCTGGAAATCATTAGAATGTGAGGTATCAGATAGAATTTAAATTCTTATTCCCTAATATCACTTGTATAAATGAAGTAATTGAATGAATAACTCAAGCCCAATGGGCTAAAGTGGTATCTTAGCCCTAAACCCTAAAATCATATGACAAAATTGTATATTTAAAGAGTATCGGCAATACTCTTTTAATATATTTGAACATTTCAAAGGTATTGTTGCGTGGCTATACACTTTAAAATTTTAAAAATTAAAAACGTATAGCCGAGCGGCTATACTCTTTAAAAATATTCACGTTTTAGGGACAGAGAAAAGAACATGAAGCTTGCAGTCGGAGTCACAGCCGTTTCCAAGCTTCAAAGACTCGGTCTTGAGCCTATCTCTCAACTCAAGCTTTGATTTTTTTTTTTCTTTGGTTTCGGCTGCTGCGTTGATTTGATTGGATTGGGATCTTTCAATGTAAGTAAAGATTGAGACTTCGTACTCCGGGCTCGGCACCGAAAAGAGACCCAACCTGCCTAGCAGCCTAGAGCCCGCCTAGGCCAATTTTTTTATCACTGCAATTGACTGAAAGTCTGAAACCCCAAATTGAAAATTAAAATATCGACATGTAAAAGTTGTCAAATTGTTGGAGTTCCACGACAGCAAGAAAACCAACAATTCAATGACCAAAAAAAGATCATGGAGTTGTACAGAAAATTCAAAGTTCCAAAATAAGTTGGATTAAATTACTATTAATATAATCTCCAGTTTAATCTAACAGATGAGTGAAAGAAACAAATGAAATTGGCATTTTCAAACTCAGAAAGTATAGAACGAACTCGGAGAAATCCTTGAATTGATGTGAAACCGAGACATTCATTGCATCTCATAGAACTTGAACATGGCAACTCTCTAAACCACATTCAAACATTAAAATTTCCTTGTATATCTCTTATTTTGGGAATGGAAGGAGTAACAACACCAGCAATAGTAGCAGTAGAAACAGTCATTTTATTCATAACCAAACTGAACTTCAAACAAATACTTAGTCGCATCCATCTCATCACATTTACCTTGGAACCCCTTCATGAAGATTATCCTAATGTGTGAAGACAAACAAGTAAGCACATATATTCTATCAAGGTTCAACATACTATCAAGGTCTAGGATAAGAGATTCTAGATTAGGTGATCGGTTCATATATTCTATGAGCAATGTCCAGTAACCATAATGAATGAGTCCAAGCTCCAACTATTTCAAATGTTTAAAGATAGCAGGCAAAAATAAACCATCCAAACTAGAAGCTAGAAGAGAAAGATACGTAACATTGGAAATTCCTATAGTAAACGGAGGCACAAGGTAATCACAGGCTAGACTTTCACCTACTGGAAGCCTATAGGGACGAATTTTGGCTGCGGATTTTAGAAAACATAAAATGGCATATGAGCACCAACTGAAGACATCGACAATCAGGTTTTCAAGCTTTGGGGAATTGATGAAGAGTTGGAACGTACAATTATTTCTAGTATTTGTGATGCTTGTCTTCAATTCAGGGGCAGAGATTTTGAATCAACTCTAAAATTCCTGAGTATAGTCAAATCTTCAAGTATGGGGCATTTAGAAAAAAGTTTCTCCATTGAGGCTCCATCTCCCCCATCAAATCTAACACAGAGGTACTTGAGACTCGGGAGATTATCCTACATGTAATGCCAGTGTACATAAGAATGGTTTCTTCCCCTATTCTTGTGTTAAGTATCCCTAGGTGCCCTTTTGACATATGATAGTATCTCTTTACAGATCGAAGACAACTTGAGAGACTTCTCGGCGGGGAAGCAATGATGCCTTCCCCACAAGATCCTGAGCGCTTCAGCTATCCTATCATGGAGTTTCTATGGTCTTGCTAATAACAAGGTTCGGTCTCTGACTATTTGTTTATGGTTTGTTAAGCAATAGATTGATTGGTTTGGTTCTTCTTGCTTGAAACTTGATAAATCTTGATGCACTCAATATTCATCCATTGATGGTTCTTCTTGGTTGGGCTGCTTTTCATTCTTTGGATATTGCATTTTTGTTATAGATTTTGACATTTGATCATACCCTCAAGTATACCCAGTTTAATTTTCCTTGTAAATGTAAATGTAGCATTTTTGTTGTTGTGGAACGTGTGCAGGTGTCCTGGCCTTGTGGCTTCGAGTTTACCAGTAAATTTATTGGACAGCAAACACATGAACCTAGAGCTGATTGGCAAGTGGAAAATTTGGAGGTGTTATCATTGGGTTCATACTTAAATTTGGCCACAATACTTGAAATTATACAAAAACATTGCAAGAATTTTATGGTTTAGATTTGTCCAAAGTCTCTGTTCATGGGCGTGCGGCATATTGTCAATTGTGAAGTTGGTGCCTAATATCAAGTACTTAAATTTGAAGGGTGCAAAAGTTAATCGGGATGGTCTTGTCACGTTGCTACGCGAATGCAAAGGTTTGGTGATGTTGGACGTTAGAGATTGTTCTGGTTTCGATGAGAACAACGATGAAATATCAAAGCTTGCGTCTCATATTAGTAAATTTATGTGCGAAAGGATTCTAAATTTCTTTAATTTCTTCTTGGTATGGACAATTTTGTTCTTCTTGTTGATGGATACTCATTTCATGTGCATGTGTAGGAAACGTGGGATGAAATGCTCAATGATTTTTTGATGCGTTCAATGATTTGGGCGACGAGGAATGAAGAACTATTTGATTGTACTAAGCGATATCTCATCTTTTTTTATATTTACAAAATTGAAGAGCAATTATGTGTGTTGAGTGTGGAGTGGTGTGGTGTTCATCTTGTGTTTTTGGACACTGTACTCTAATGAGGGCTTGTTATAAGTTCCTATCTTGATTTCATTATAAGATATGTGCTTAATTTGGAAAATGGCCATTCTAAATTCCTTCGCTACATTTTTTGTAATATCACATGTGCTCGCGATTGTTCTTCAACCTTGCCTCTGCCTCTGTTTCTATCTTAACTTTCCCTAACCACCAAAGGTTGTCCTAGCTAAATTTCTTTATGGTTCAAGAAAAGTTTCTTGGTGAAAAAATGTTGGTTGCACCAGCTTAACAACAGGCACAACCAGTAGACAAATGAAGTAATATGTTATATTTAAGAATGACATGCTACTTCTCATGTAACACATGTTGTTTGAATTCTCATTTTGAATGGTTCATATATCAATGTCATATGACCTCTGATACCTTCAATAAATTTCAAAACAGAGCTGCAAACTTCTCTTCGTTGTCTCGTTAGACTGTTTTGTATCCAATTTTTTTTCAAGAAAGTAAATTGCTATACAAGCAATTTTATACTATGAAATTCAACATCCTTTGATCCACAAAATGTTGAGGGATTTTGTTGTTGTCGTTGTATTTGTGGGTTTAACCTATATTATTTGTTATAAATAAAATTCATTTTTTATTCTTGCCCGATGGGCTAATAGCTGTAAATCATTAGAATGGGAGGTATTAGAAAGAATTTAAATATATCACATGTATAAATAAAATAATTGAAGTAATAACTCTAGCCCCGCGCAGCTTTACTTTCTAAACACATCTGGATATTTTAAAAGTATAGCCGGGCGGCTAGACTCTTTAAATATTAATATATTTGAATATTTTAAGGGTATGGCCGACCGGCTATACTCTTTGAATATATTTGAAACAAACACGAAAGCTTGCACTGGCATAGGACGGAGCTTGCAGACGCAGTCAAGTTTCGGCTGCTTCGTCCTCCTTGTTCGGCACCGGAAAATGACCCAACCCACCTAGGAGGCCCGCCCAGCCACCTAGCGCCTGCCTAGCCGCCTAGCGCCCGCCTAGCCGCCTAGCCCCCGCCTAGCCGCCTAGCGCCCGCCTAGCCGCCTAGCGCCCGCCTAGCCGCCTAGCCGTCCGCCTAGCCCCATTTTTTGAACACTGCGATTGACTGAAAGTCTGCAACCCGAAATTGAAAAAGTTTACCTGCAAATTTGAGCTTGAGATTGAGATTTGGAAGCCGAAGCAAGCACAAGTCATGGGAACCCTAAATACAAAATTTGCTGACTTGGTGTCTGTCTTCGGTGGAAGGAAATGATGAAGCTATCCTAACATGGAGTTTCTATGGTCTTGCCAATAACAAGGTTCGGTTTTTAGGCCCCAATCTCAAATTCTGACTATTTATTTCTGGTTTGGTTCTTCTTGCTTGAAACTTGATAAATCTTTATGCATTCAATATTCATCCATTGATGGTTCTTCTTGGTTGGACTGCTTTTCATTCTTTGGATATTGCATTTCTGTTATAGATTTTGACATTTGATCATGCCCTCTTGTTTGCTGATAGAAAAAAAAGAAAAAAGAAAGAAAGATTTGTCTCCTCCTCCTCCTCTTGCATAGGAACACAAAACCAACCCACGAAACAACAGAAAAATAAATAAATAAATAAATAAAATTACACCACCTTAGTCCTGACACAAATGACATGTGGAAACTGTCAAGCTAACTGTAGGGAAACCCGAGAGGCAACAGCAAACATTTCTATAGAACTGAACCCACCTATCTTAGAAGATGGAGGGGCAGAAGAGTAGAAAATCAAATAGCTTACCATATATTTGTTGCTGGTTCTTCCTCACATATAATAGCAGGGTTAGGCCCAGGATCAGCAGTCCAGTAGACAACACAGTACTGGTTACTATGTTATGACCAAAAGTTGGTCGTGAGGGGAAAAGAATGCCAAAATCATTTACACTTCCTAAGTGAGCATCAATCTACGTAAGAAAAATGATGGGTCACATACTCAAAAGTTGCAGTTTCCTTGAGAATTTGTGTTCTTTTTCATAACTTACTTCTAATTGTTGTTGCCTCCATTATAAGAATATAATTGCACAATGCGCTTTGCATATGGAACCCCAGTTCATTGAAGAACACAACGGCAGTGAATATGAACTACAAGAACTGAAAATCAGCAACTCCATACCATTTTAAGTATGAGAACATTCTCACCAAATATAGAACCATCAGGACTCTGTCGGATACGATTAACAGATACTTATGAATCTTTGACCAGAGCTTCCTGAAATAATTGACATTGGTTCAAATTTCGGATCATATCAGTAAGGTTGAGAAAGTAGTACGTAATCCAGAAGCAGATGCACCTTTAAGGCCATTGGGCCTGCATCAAGATTCCAGACTCTAAAATTTCTTGAAAGCAACTTTTTCCCTGAACTAACATCCCATAGTCCTATGTCTCCAACACCCCCAGGTTCCGACTGAAGAATCACATTAGCAGGATTCACGAGTGAACTATAAAAACTAGTTACTGCACACGATCATTCTAAAAAGACAGGAAATTTATAAACGATGGGAGAAAAAAAGAAGAAAAAAAAACGTAGTTTCTCATTACTTCACATAGAAGAAGAGTCCGCCAAGTGGGATGAAAATCCATGCTCATTGGACATGAGCCCTCATTTAGTGTCAGGGCAAAAGTTGTGGGCAAAACATTGGGTATGGCAACCGCGGACAGGTGACTTTGGCCAAGATCAGTGACAGTTGATTTTACCTAAACAAATGAAAGAAAACCAGGGTCAAGATACAGAAGTTCTATAATTATATAATTCTGTACATAAAATTGATTCAGATTACCTCATCCAAATCAGAGAGAACATTTTTTTGGAATGGATAGTCAATAACCTCTATAGCTGTAGCCACAAAAATTTAATCGAAGGTTAATAATAACAACTATGCAATGTGTAAAATGACGACACATTTCAAACATAAATTAGAGGGTACCAGTACCCAACAACATCACTTGAAGATCTAAAATAAAATACCTGGGCTCTTTGCAGCATTGAGAGATACTGCTCCCGGAGAGTGCATCTTGTGTTACAGATAAATTTTTGGCTCAGCAGAAGAAGTTGGAAATGGATTTGATGTTGCTTGTGAAGGCTAAATACAGAAGGTTAGAGCAATCTTAGAAGAAACCGGAAAGACTAAACAAAATCTAGTTTAAAAATAGAAAAAGAAAATCAGCTAGTATGGATGATGAGCAGGAAACCTTGGTTAATGAGGACCAATACGAAAAGAATTTCAGTTTACCAGAGCATATCTTACTTGCAAACTGTTCCCAGTCGATAGAGACAAAGACAAACAGCCATTCACAAACACGATCAATGAAAAGGGTTTTAATAACGGATTTGGACAATGCAGGCTGCATCCCTCAAAGAAAAGATTAACCCAATGTTTGGTGGCGAGCATGGCCCATAAAGAGTGGCAGTACTCCGTTTCTGAAAAATACTTTTGGCATACATAATTCTTTTGATATTTGCAGTTGTGGTAGTTTTGAAGACCTTTACAACAGCTGAAACTATGTTGAATGTTCAAGAGTGTAGAGTATAGCGGCTGTACTCTGGAATCGTTAGATTAGCATGTTGACTAGCTGTCGGTTATTGTTTTCACTTACAACTGTTACAAATTGTCTTACTTTTATGCCTTTTGGTTTCTGTTTATACAGATGGCTGGAACTTTTGGTTTTGGCCATGACTGGCTGGGTGAAGGAGCTTTTGAGGAATTATTGTAACAAGAATATCAGAAATTGAGGTCTCTTGTGGCTTTTGGAAGATTATTATCTCTGCGTATTATGAGATTCAATAGATTGTTCTTTAAAGAAATATCCATTATTGAATAAATTCTCTGTAGATATGCCATCATTATGCAAAATCTGATTGAGACATTATATCTCCACACATAGAGAGTGCCGTATGATCCCTGTTGGATTGAACCCATACACATTTGATGCATTTCTTTGAACAGCTCCTCATTACCTTCGGCAAAAACTTTGAGATCCTTCATGAGGATATCTAATGCCTTGGAGCGACAATTGCTGTCAAGAATGAACAAAAACATGCAGAACATGGTGTTTTTTAAGATTGTTTATGTATAGATTATAAGAAGCTTCAAAAAAATGTTCTCAGTTGTCAATGGCCTCAAGGAAATTTTGCTTTCTGATCTGGAAATAGATCTTTGTCGCATAGCGATTGTTATGTCTATTTCATATTGACATATTGGAGACGTCAAATCTGGTTAAGAGGAAAAATGTGTGTCATTTTTGGAAGATTAAAACTTAGTTCCAACCCAAGAGTACAGCCGCGCGGCCATACTTAAATATATAATTTCAAGCGTATAGCCGTGCGGCGATACTATTTATAAAATAAAATAAAAAGGACCCGCCTATCCCCCCCGCCTAGGTGGCCGATTTTTGGAAAACTTGAATGGCGTTTTTTTTTTTCCGATTTCTTTTTTCCTAGCTGGTCTGGCATCTCTGCAAATACATCAAGCTGGAGTTTTAGCTACTCACGTTTAGATCTCCATAGTCGGATCTGTATGAGTTTGAGTACGGGATTCAATTTTAGTAGCATCTCCAGGTTCACCTAAAACAAACATAACACTCAATTGTGAGTTTGACGGGATACTGTTGGACTACTCACGGCAACGTGCCACGCCTGAAACCTTGGAAATTGGCAGGGGTGGGGTTGGCCCATTCGTAACTAGTGCCTTGTGGGGGGAAGGGATTGGGTGAATATAGTGCTTTCTAATTAATGTTGTCTATGCCACAATTTCAGGCCTGATGCAGTTGCAAAGCATATGGAATGGTAGCAGTCAGCACTAATCTTACAGTATGGCAATTTCCTTTGTTCTCTTGCCTTTAGTTGATTAAACATTCAGATTATCACTAAATTTAACTAACAATTTTTCATTATCCGTTGGTGATTATGAATTTATGTGCTTTTTTCTTTTCGATTTCGAGGGTGATGCTATTTATTGAGTTCATCAGGACGAAAGTCCTAAAGATATCCTTGTTATTTCTATTTCATATTGAGTTGATGGTGATGCTATTTGATGTTTAACTCAAGTATAAATATGCATTTCATGAACCCTCATAGGGTTCCTCCTGCTTGTAGATTGCCACTAATAATGGATACCCTCCGATTTCTTATATTTATTTGCAGATCAGATCATGTATTGTTTATCTTTAATTTTTGTTAGAGATTCAATCCAATTAGAGCCCAAACTTATAACTAGTGATCCCGATCAATTGTCCCGACCCTTTTCTTCTTTGTCAAAGAGAGATTTGTGAGTTTTGGCTAAAGTGAGGTTGAAATGTGATCAAGATCATCTGGACTCAATCTCTACCCATCATAATTGTGTAATAATCCTGTCAATATATTCCTACAAAAAAGTGGGTCTTGGTGAGAGGTGGCAAAGCGAAATAAAAGTTGCACTCCATCCTTGACAGAGTTTGGGGTATGGATCTTAGATTTTAAGTGCACATCATTCTTGACAGAGTTGATATGTTAGGATATTGAGCTTAGATTTTAAGTTTTAATTATCAAGTTTTTGGCCATGTTCCAAAACCAGATAGTGAACTTAAAGCTTAGGTGAGTTTTTTATAAATGATAGTCTAAACTACTCTGATTTACGCGAAGAAATACTTGAATTTGGATGCAACGGTATACTATCCTAGTCAACTGACCTAACCCACGTTTGCAGTATGAGAAAAACTATTAAACTAAGAGCTAATTGATTATTCGAACTTATTTGGGAAATAGCCCCCAATGCCACCCATTTTATAATCTTAACTAAAAATACCACCCCTTCCTAATTTTTGTACAACTACTACCTATAAATATAAAATTATTGTCCACTTATTGTACCCATATCAGTTTTTCAAAAATTGGCTTCTCTCTCTAACTCTCCTCGCTCTATCTCTTCGGCCCGTCTCTCTCCCTCGTGAACCTCTCTCTCTTCGACACAATCGTCTTTCTCCCTCAACGGTGGCTGTTCATCCAAGCTTAACTCCATCGTTGACATCCACGAGGTACTGTTCATAAACATTTTCTTTGAAATTTGGGGTTTTGGTGAATTTGGTTTATGGTGTATGGATTAGTATGAAATTGGTTTAGGGGTTTCTTCCAAATTGGTTTAGGGTTTTAGGGTTTAGAGGTTGCTCTGAAATTGGTTTAGGGTTTATGGGTTTGTAGGAAATTGGTTTAGGGGTTTCTCTAGAGTCTAGGGTTTGGAATTGATGAGATATCTAATATGGGCTTCAGATTTCCCTAATTTATTTTTCTTTATTGTGATTGTGATTTTAGGAAAGGATTGGGTGATGGGTTTTTATTTTGGGTCATCTGATATGGTTTTGAGATTGGTTTCATATCTATGATTTTGGGTGGTGATTTTAGTCGAAGAGTACCATGTGAATAGGAGGACAAGGAAAATGGCCAGCAGTGTGAAGGCCAAAGGTTGCAAAAAGGAGGAGCTTTCATTTAGCTCTTGCAATAATTGCAAGGGATTTAGCATCTTCAAAGTTGGTACTATGAAACGAATGTGTTGTGTGTGTTTAAATAAAGGCAAAGATCATCCTAGTACTGTTGAAACCACCGACAAATTTGAGCCACATACAAATTTGTGTGTGAGCATTCTAATGGTCCATTTGTAAGAGGAGAGCCACATAAAAGTTTATGGACGAGTTAGTTTGTTTCAATTTGTTATCTTTGTTATCTTCTTCTTCTTCTTCTTCTTCTAGGGATGAGTTAGTCCACCCGAGTTCATCCACTTGGGCAGAAATTTTTACAGAAATATATTGGAGGGCAGAGTGTAGTTACGTCAGGAACTTTTCTGGTCGAGGAGGGTCCTTACTACTATTGTATGCTTGAAATCTTGTTTGGGAGACTCTCACTACCTCTCTATAATCAGGTTTTCTGAGTTTTTGACTTGAAAGACTCAAATTTTTATTATATATAATGGTTATACTTTTCAGCATGACAATTTTGTAAACTCTTCCTCAAATCACTGGCAGGCTTTGAAGAAGATCTCCAAGTTTGTGAAGACAAATATTCTTCCTGGGGCAATTGCAGAGGTTGGACTGCTTTGTTGTGCCTGCGTTCATTCTAACCCAGAAGAGGCAGTTACTCAACTTGTTGAGCCAATTTTATTGTCTGTTATATCTTCTTTAGAAGGAACACCAGCTACAGGATTTGGAGGTAGAGGAATGTGCGATGCCTCAGTTTCAACAAAGGTAGTTTCTCTTATGAATGTTTTAAACTATTTGCTTCTGTCTATGCCTAGATTTTTATTATGAACTTAATGCTTTCTTTCCAGGTCAAACCAACAATTTCTCCAGCTCTTGAAACAGCAATTGACCATCAATTAAAAGTATTATCAGTTGCTATAAGTTATGGAGGTCCTGCACTTCTGCGCTACAAGGATCACTTCAAAGAGGCGATTATTTCTGCTTTTTAGTCCCCATCTTGGAAGGTCTTGTTACTTTGATGACTATTGTTCTCTCATGATCAACTGTTTCTTCCTATACATGTGTCTCTACATGCAATGCTCAATGAATTTTTCAATGGTTTGAATGATTTTTTTTGGACAGGTCAATGGAGCTGGTGATCATCTTCTTCGATCCCTTCTTGGAAGCCTGATTCTTTATTATCCTATTGATCAATACAAGTATATTAACTTTTCTTGCTAGTTACATAATTGTGTGAGTACATACATTTTAAATTTGTCTGCCAAAGAAGAAAAATAATATTATTTCTTTAGGTGCATTTTGCATCATCCGAATGCTGCTGCATTAGAGGAATGGATCAGCACCAAAGATTATTCAGGTGATAAACCAATGGTGGCTCCCAAGTGGCATATCCCGAGTGTTGAAGAAGTTGAATTTGCAAATGAACTTTTGGACCTTCATTTTCAGTTGGCTTTGGATGATCTTTCGAGAATATGTGAAACTAAAGTCCATTCTGATCCAGGTAATTTTTTATGGTGTTATCTTCTTATTCTCAGAATACGATGCCTGCAAAATGAAATAAAGGAGCTTTTCTGGTAATGAACTTTACTTTTGGACACACACATGCACAATGAACTTTACTGTCTTTGATGTCATTTTGTGTTATTTGTTTGATAGGAAGGTGATGATGCTGTTGCCGTCGCTGAGGAGGTGAAGAAGAACAACCATGTAGTAAGAAAGTTGGAGAAGCGTCAACAGATTTGCACCCTTGACCAACATATTGAAGAACAATTTGGTGGTGGTCGTCTGTTGGCTTGTATTATAGCATGGGTTCGTTCGAGTGCTTAACAGTGTTTATCATGATTGCATCGCATGCCTTAACTCCCTCAGTTCTCTCTGGCAGCTGTCAGATTGTTTGAAAATAATTGTCCACTTATAATTTGTTGAAGACTCACCTTGTTATCTGTTCATTGCCTTACATGGCACATAAACTGTTTCCATTTTGAAGTTGAACTATTTCGTACACCTCCATATATAAACATAGTTGCTCTTTATGAACGTATAACAGTTTACTTGTTTGAAACGACGTGTTCGTTTCCACTGAATTCCACTCATTTTTGTATCCATTGTTGACATTTAGTCTCTGTGGTTTTCTTTGCAATTTATGTGATATAGGTATATTTCATTTCCTGCACTGAGAATCTGTTAGTGGACTTAGTGAAGCATACAGCTTTCTTAAGATTTCTCAAATTAGTTTTGACTTTGTTCCTTTTAAATAATTTATGCAGCAATTCTACTTTTGTGCTTAGCATTCTGTTGTTATTGGAATTTGAAACCTCATAATGTTTAGAAAGGGGTAAGATATACTTTACCCCCATGAACAAATGTGGAAAATCACTTAACACGCTTCCACCACAATATTAGAAAAATAAGTCCCTCGTTTGTTTAGAAATTTTCATTAATAGCTATTCTGTCAGTATATTTACCATTAGTACAGTTTTAGGGCCAAGTTCGTATGAGCAGATGACTAATTTGAAATATGTAATCGATCATTTTGCCCTCTGACTCAATCTTTGAAACATTGGTGTGGTGATTAATAGATGCGCAGATGTGCAATGCGCAGAGTGCATGTACAAATAAATGTGCAGATTCGTTTGTTTACTTCCATGTGTTAGAAATCATGGTAATTTAACAGTTTTATCACAGAAGAATGAAGGTTTGGAATGCATAGAAGCCTGCAATATACACTAAGTATAGAGATGGTTGCCAAATATCATGTTGAGCACTATGACCCGTGCAAAGTTAAACTGCATACATTAGTTTACTAGTTCTTTATCTTTTTGAAGATTCATTAGTTGTTCCAAAAATTAGTTATCCCTATTAGATCACATAATGTTTGAACTAATGGTCATCAACTCAATCTTGCCTTTGCTTGCTTGGAAAAGCTCTGTTGTTTACTTTGTTTTGCCAAAAAGTTTAATGGAAAGCTATCTATCCATTCCAAATTAAATTCATGTGTTCTTTGTTTTCCTTACAGGAAAATGGAGGTCAAACAATGGACATATGTCAAAAATGAAAAACAGAGGAAGTGCATAATTTGTTTATACCTAAAACGCAATAAGCTGGTGATACGTTGGTGATACAGTGGCAATACAGACACGATAAAATGGTGCTAGAAATTGATGTTTCTGTTTATTTTGGGCTTCTTCTTTTGTTTCATTTCATTTACTTAGCCTTAATAATTGGATGATTACGAGATGAATTTGTGTCAAGTATTAATACGACAATTACATATATGAAGATTAAGACAAACAACATATCGTATCACCAAACATAATCAAACCACCAAATGTAATCATCCTTTTCTTCAACCCATCACGAAGCATTTGCATATTTATTCATACCTTCCTTTTTTTGTAAATTTTTTTTAGTTGTTATTATTTTTTAAAATAATTTCTTAAAATGTCTTACATTGCAATTATAATGCACCTGACTGCCTGTTTTTGAAAGGCACGTTGTTTCTTTCTCGTCGTCATCTTCTTTTTGAATGAAGTAGGGCCTAAACCGTAAACCCATTGATGAGCCGTAGTCAATATACATACAATATAATAGCAATATTAGGCCAATATACATCCACTAGAGAGGCAATATTAGGGCAATATAACAGCAATACAACAACAATAGCATCACAATATACATGCAATAAGGTGGCAATATGCATACAATATGTATGCAATACAAAGGCAATATTAGTACAATACACATGCAATAGGACAACAATATTAAGTCAATCTACATACAATACACACACATCCATTACAGACTACAATTTAGACATGCAAAATAAATCGCCACCGAACCCTAACAATTCAGACCACATTTTATTATCTTTAAATCTGTCGTCTAATACGTTCACAAGCTGTTACATAGGTTTTTGTTTCCTATGATTCTATACAATGATTTTAACTAGAAAACCAATTATAATGCTTTATTAACGAATATATATGCTCAAAAATTATTTCTTTCATAACACTTGAAAATTCAATTGTTATTACATAGTCAACCAATCTTTGCTCTATTACATACATCCTACCTATAATTATAAATAATGGAGAGATCACAAATTCTACTAATTTGATCTTAACTTCATCAATTTGATCTTAACTTCATCAATTTGTTCTTCGGTGTATGAGTTAGCTCTCTCTTCTTGCACATTTTCCAAGCTGTTCTATTCTCCTCCCGCGTAGCAAAACAAGTTATCTACATATCTGAAATCATAACTGCAGATGATTCTCAATTAACAAAGGGGAAAACCATTTTCTTTTATAACTTTGGTTCTGAAATATATAACAAAATGCAAAGACCTTTGCTTCTGAAAAGAAGCAAAAGTTTGTCAACCAATTCATAGTAAAAAAGAAGAAACTAGTGAACCTAACCAGAGAAATGCTAACCTGCAAAACCAACTCCAATACTTTAACCACAACATTAATACTTGAGATTTTCTTCTCATGGATTATGATTAGAGGATTTTCCAATTCCTATCAGCACATACACAAGTTTGAAGATAATCAGCATCAAGACATAGTTATCGCTGAGTCAAACCAAAACTTACACATTTCTGATTGTTTTGGTTGGTGATGAAATAAGGGGATATGTAGCCCCTGTCTAGCTTCATTCCCTTAACAACCTCCAACTCATTCTCCAATGTTTTCCCATCCTGCAAAAATTAACATAGTGTGAAGCTTACATGTTTTGGGTATCATTTGGGAATAAAAAAACTAAAATAAAATTATTTGCCCTCCAATATATTTCTGTAAAAATTTCATAAGACCCATACATACCTCACTTTAAAACAACAATAAAAAGAAGCTGTTATCATCCAGATTTCAGCCCTTGCAATACGGTAACTACACTAATATGCCTATGACAAATCTCCTAATACCAAATGCAAGAATCAATCGACAAAGAACAAACACATTTGTTGTTTCAAACAAACAAAATCAATCCCAATACTTCAATTTCTACACAAAATACAGACGAAATCAATCACAATTCCAATTTCAGTAATCAAATTCAATTTAACATCAAAACTTACATATTCCCAACAATTAATTTTCTGGAGAAGCTGTTCTTGAAGAGCGCATGTAAACCCAGACTTCAAAACCCCCAAAAATTGGACCAAAATGCTCAAACAATGACCACCTAATGCCAAGACATGCTGTCATATTCAGAAAAGATGGTTTTGTTTGGGTTTGTTTAGGTTTGCAATCAGAACCCACAGCAGACTCTACAGTTGGATGAAAGGACCTTAGGCACCTCCCTTCACAACTGCATTAGAGCAAAATTGTTATTCACACCATAAATTATACGAAATTAATTTCTTTAGAGAATATATCCATCATAATCATAAGAATTAGTTAACACCATAGCATACCACAAGAGATCACCACCATCATCGCAAAAAGCACAGACAGAGCTAAACAGGCTATCAATGTCACTGGACTCATTTTCTGCATCATCAATCATATCATGTTTTATATGATCATCCACAAATCTGAGATCTTTTGTACCTTGAATGCCCTGAAAATCAAAAGAATACACTTGTTCAAAACATTATAATTTGAACACAAAAGAATAAAAACAGAAATAATAAAACTCGGAGACAAAAGTCTACCAAAGGAAGGGAAAGAGATAAGCTGGAGAATATGACCTCATCAGATAGTTGCCTCTTTGCGGGCTTCTCTCCAAGAAAATTCACCAAAAACTGTTAAATCACAATTTGTCATTACAGTTAACTGTGCATACAGAGAAATATAGCATATATATTTCATGCACAAGGCATAAGTTATGAAATTGGCTTTAGAAGATCATGTACAATTTGATATAATAGCCAATGGATCACAGACAGGAAATAATAACCGACTGAAAATAAAACAAAGATAAGAACCAAGTGAAAGAAAAAACAAAGTAAAGAAAAGTTTTTAAGTTTCAACAAAGTTCACATAATGGAAAACTCAATTCATGCTGGTAAGATTCAGATGTTCAATCAAAGAATAAGCAGGTACTGAGCTACTTAGAGCTCAATATGTTAACGTAAAGGGTCGGAAATGAATGTTTTTCAAATAAAAAGTAAAACTTAAACATGTGGGAATAGAATGAAATAGTTATTTGCCTAATCCTCCAATTATAAATATTTAACTAGAAGTCTTAATCTGGTAAGTACCAACCATGAGGACGACAAGACCACACAACGTTCTCAACAGAAAAAACAATGATAGCTACCAATCACTGGGATATTATTGTTCTGCTTGAACAATTTGATATGATTGAGTCTTGATGAGAAGTTTCCGGCAGCTTATCTCAGGCCACAATCTCTGTGCACTCAAGAGGAATGGGAAAACTTGCGGCGGAAATATTAACTCAAATATCAAAATGAATGCATAAGATCATTTTAAGAAAGAAAAAACACGCACAGCCTCATTTTGGTGGTCCACTCTGTTTCCATCTAAATGGAAGGTGGTGTCTAAATAAACTAGGAATTTATTATTTCATTCCAGACATGCTGTTTTAGGAGTAAATTCATTTTCAATCAATAGATGTAAATTAGATACTCTGGATAATAAAGTTAATGATGTATCCTGAATTATATGGAAAATAAATAATGATATGAAAAGCTTAAACATGACTGAAATACATGTTACAATTCCAATGACAATAAAAGAAACCACACAGACCTTGGACCTTGCTAAGGTATCATCCCGTTCAACAGAATCACGTATCAACAGAATGTGATCCAGCAGATCATTATGAGAACGCCTAACGTCATACAAGCTGAACATTGAGTGAAAATTGTCAAACTCTGTTCTAAGAAAACTAGCAAATAGAAGTATTAGATGTTTAAAGTTTTGCAAGTTACCTGAAAACTTTGGACAAGTGAGTACACAACGATTTGTAGGATGTTTCAGGATTTCTCTTCACATAATGAAGGAACTGAACCGTTATCAAGATTGACCGCACCGTGTCCTCAAAGCTCTTCCTCGGCTTCAAAAGCCTAAGCCAATTATTTTCCTTGGAGAGTACAAAAATCTCGGGCTTTCCTTGGAGAGTACTAAAACCCTTCACAAAAACCCCAAATTTCAAAGAAAAGGTATATGCACAGTACCTCGTGGATGTCAACGGTGGAGTTACGCTTGGATGAACAGCCACCGCTGAGGGAGAAAGACGATTGCGTCAAAGAGAGAGAGGTACACGAGGGAGAGAGACGAGCCGAAGAGATAGAGCCAAGAGAGTTAGAGAGAGAAGCCAATTTCTGAAAAATTGATATGGGTACAATCAGTTCACAATAAATATATATTTATATGTGGTAGTTGTAAAAAAATTGGGAAGGGGTGGTATTTTTAGTTAAAAGTAGCAAATGGGTGGCATTGGAGGTCATTTCCCTAAAATATTCGGATGTATTCACAGAGTGGAGCCGCATGGCTGTACCGTTAAAGTAATATATTTAAATAGTATAGCCGAAAATATACAATTTTGACATTTTATTTTAGAGTTTAGGGCTAAAATACCACTTTTGCAAATTAGGATAGAGTTATTTCTTCAATTATTTTATTTATACCAATGATGTTGGGGAATGAGAATTTAAATCCTTTCCAATACCTCATATTCTAATGATTTCTAGCTACTAGCCCATTAGGCAAGAATAAAAAATGGATTTTATTTATAAGAAATAATACGGGTTAAACCCATAAATACAACAACAAAAAATAGGGATCCACAACATTTTGGGGATAAAAGAATCTTGAATTTCATGGTATAAAATTGGTTGTGTAAACATTTACTTTCTAAAATGTATTCATCGTAATTATGAACTAAATCCAATGACAGCCTTTTTCTCACTGCACTTGACAACCCTGCCCTTTTGCTATGATATATATCCGTTTGTGTTGTATTCTCTGCATATGAAAAATTGGATACAAAACTGTCTAATAAGACAACGAAGAAAAGAGTTTTGAAATAAATTGAAGGTATCAGAGGTCATCATATGGCATTGATATATATATGAACTATTCTAAATGAGATTTCAAACAAGGTGTTAGATGAGAAGTAGCATCTCAAGTTGTCTTCGATCTGTAAAGAGATACTATCATACATCAAAAGGAAACATAGGTATATTGAACACAAGAATAGAGGAAGAAACCATTCTTATGTACACAGGCATTACATACAGACTGAAAATTTTAACGTCTTGAATAAAGACAAATTGTCACAAGTAAATTAGATATGATGATCTAGAGTTAAAGATCCTCCCCAAATGTTCCAAGCAGAAGCTTCCTAAAGATGAAATCTGAATATGACAGACATTTCAGTGGAACAATGCTTTACATTTCTTCCCTTCTCAGTTCAATCAAGGGAAACCAAGCTACATGAGATTGCCATTGGTTTTGTTGACAATGATCACTATCTGTTTATGCTACATAGTTTTAATTTTATATGTTGTGCGTATATTAATGAATTCTTGTTTTGTAGGTTCATTTGTCTCTAGATCATCCAATTCCACCAGTTTCTAGAATATGGCATGAACAAAGTGACATATGTAATGTAACACATTTGTACTCAAGGTACCAAGCGTTTGTGAATGTGTTTCAACAACTTCCGGGAGTGGAAAATTTAGCTACTACAGATACGGTCATCCTAATGATTGACGAAAATGCACCTACTACTGAATTGAGATTATAAATATAATAATTCTATTTATTTTCTTGTATTCCTTTTTTTGGTGGGACAAACTTCAAAAGGGTTTGAATGAGTTCTAAAGTTCTAAAGTTCCAAAGTTTCATAAGTTTTAATACAAACATGCAATAACTAATCAAAACAACAAAAGTATCATGAGTTCTACTAGACACATGCTAGCAAGTCAGTTAACCATGACGACATTGATATGTCTTGGTAGACCGTATGTTTGTACATTCTAAAATCGGCTGCAAGGTCTCAACTGCTTGATAAACTTGGGAAGGTCCTGTACACAATACAACTGTTTCCCCTAATGCCACGAGCAGCCTAGTAAAGGACAACATACGCTCGTCGTGCTCCTGTAATGAATTTGAATTCAATGTGTTAGTAAAAAGTACAAAATTGAAAAAGTGAAAGTTGTAACAAATTTATAATTTTACCTTTATGAGTCCTCTTCAAATATAACACAAAATAATATTAAGTACAAACTTAGTAACGAATTCGGTAGATGATCACTGAAATAAGAAACGAATTCACTGAAACAAGAAACTAATTTAATAGACTACCACCGAAAAAACATAAACAAATTCGGTAGACTACCACTAAAAAACAAAAAGACATTCGGTGGATAGCTATTGTAAAACAAAAACAAATTCGGTGGACTCCCACTGAAACAAGGTAAGCTAAGAACTGAGGTTTATGAGGGTAATCTAGGGAAAAAAAAAGGGTATAATGAGTAATTTTAAATTTTACTAAAATTCAGTGGGGTGTAAAGAGAATGTGGAGTGCAAAGAGCAAATTTTGGGGTGCTAATAAAATCACCCTTTCTTTTAATCTTTAGTTATTACAACTACATCCAAATTTTTATTAAAAATTTAAAACTTCTTTTTTGGTTTTTTTGTCAAAAAAATTTAAAAGTAATTGGAAGTGACTTGTGGAAAACACTTCTTAGGGTTCGTTTGGGAGTCAGAATTACTTAAGAGGAGAAGTACTTTACACTGCTTACTTTATAAAATCATTTAAACCACTTAAAGTGATTCTCTAGAAAAGTGATTTTTGATAAGCCTGGGCACGGTTCAGGTTGGTTCAAATTTTGGCCGACCCGCGGGCCAAATCGAAGGAGAGCTCAGTTCTCGAGTCGGGTCGAGTCTAGGGTGAAACCCGAAAATGGGTCAAATTGGAAATGGGCTCGGTTCTCGGGTCAGTTATGTGCTCTGATCGGTTTGGGCTTGAGCCCATTTTTACCATTTTCAAAAGGCCAAATCTTATTTATTTTCAGCAAAAAAAAAGTCCAAATCATATTGTTTTTAGCAAAACAAAGCCCAAATCAGATTTACTTTCAGCCAAAACCCTTTTTTTGTTGTCAAATTGTCAAAACCTATTAAATTCTTATGAACAAGCCCAAAACACTTTTTACTTCTCTTTCAAAACCTGAAATTATGTAAATTCAACCTATAAAAATCCATCATTTCAATCGAAGTTTCTAAACTAAATAAATCTCACATAGACACATTCAACCAACCAACCAAGGAAAGGAAATATAATCTCTTACAAACCGTTACACAAAATAATACACAAACCAAATTAAACTTATAAAATTAAAGATTACAACCCATCACAAAAATACACATAAAGATAATATCCTTGCAAAAAATCAGCTACATCCATTCTTCCAAAAGCCTTAACAAAGCAACATACACAACACTTAGAATTAACACAAAATTTCACCATCAACAAATCATAATTAAAATAAGATGCAAGAAAAATACCTTCCAACAAATCTTAATCACACTAAGAAGGGAGAGTCTTATTCAAATTTGTCGTGGATGTTTTACCCCCCATTTCTACAAAATATAATAAAATAAATCAAACCAATTTGAGTTAGAACACATAAAAATAAGAAAATAATCGGATTCAAATATACTTATAGAAATGAAAATATTACCCATTTCAATTGATTCATAGAACTCCATCTCCTAAATGCTTGGCACATATTGCAATGAAGATATATCTTCGAACCTTATCTAATTTTGAGAGCAAATCAAAGCCTCAACCATCCTAGGAGACAATGAGCTTCGAAACGAGTCAATCACTCTCCCACTTGTGCTAAAAAAAGACTCTGAAGCTATTGTGGAAGTAGGGATTGCAAGCACATCCTTTGCAATTATGCCAAAGTAGGATACCTGAGCCCATTTATTCTCCACCACTCTAGTATATCAAACTCCTCATCAATGGATTCAAGTGGATCCAACAAGTACCTATCCACTTCATGTGTTATAACCACATTCTCACTCTCTTGTTGAATTTTTTTTTCCACTTTTCCATCATGGTTTTTCATTTACGACCTCCAAAAACCAAAGAAGAGTCGGTTTCACTGTTAGTATTACCACCACTTTCATTGGTAGTACTAGTAGCACCCATATTGTTACTACTAGGCTTATACACTTCATACATATTCATAAGAAGTTGTTTCACCTCATTTGTCCTTTGAGCCACCAATCTATCACAAGTAGGATCATTTTCAAATATTTCTTCAAAGATGTGATTCAAATTGCGAAGCTTGAATCGGGGGTCAATCACAACTCCTATCATCAAGAATGGGTTCACTTTATGAAGTTCACCCCAATATTTATCATATTTATTCTTCATTGATGCTGTCATATCATTTAAAAGAGTATCCACGGCTGTCCGTTCTTCAATAGGAATTGTAACATCATATCTATACTGTTATGTTTTCCTATTTAGATCGGTGCACTAGATACTAAGTCATATCATGTTTAATAAGATTTTAAATTAAGTTGTACCTTGAGGCCCAAAACCCAGTGAAATAAGGAAGGGTTTTGAGGCCTATTAAGAGGTCTTATTATATTTCCATTTATGTGTGAACCGATTAAGTGGACTTGAAAGATAAGTCAAGTCGGCCCTCGGTGATGAGTAGAGACGACTTGACTTAGCCATATATAAGCTAAAGGCCCTGCTCTCATCAGACACGTTCTCTAAACCTATTCTCATCAAACAGAGAGAGCTGAAACAGATTCTGAGAATGAGCAGAAGTCTTGAGCCATTCCTATTCTTGCTAGGATTGCTGCTACTACGGATTGGATGAATACAGAAGCTGTGTACTCAAGGAAGATGGCTCCAGGTATGTCTTCATGTCTTTACACGTGTTACAGGTTGTGTGTAAGATCTAGAACTTACATATAAAGAATCTAACATATACAACTCCCGAATCTCCCCATCTATGGCAAGCAAGTCATGGAAGGTTGAGTGTGATGTTGGATGCAAAGAAGCTGAAATTTTCAAAGTAACATCATAGAAGGTCTTCAAAAACATCACAAATGTCATGGCTTTTTCCCAATCTTCATCACTAGGTGGACCCACCCTCTTATTAGTCTTAGACTTTCCCTTCCCTTTCCCACTTCCTTCAATGCCTTCAATTCTCTCGTCATCTCCTTCCTCTTCCTTGAATTACATTAAGTAAGAAGAATCGGGATCATCCCCCATTCTATCAAAAGCTTTTCGAAATTTCAATGCTGCATCAAACATCAAATAAGTGGAGTTCCACCTAGTGGGCACATCCATCACCACTAACCCCTTGCACTCTATTTTTTCCGTCTCAACACACATTTTGAAGTAACTCAACCGAGAAGGTGAGGACCTCACAAACTTGACCGCATTACGGATTGCCACAATTGAGCTTTCTAATCTCTTCAAACCCTCCTTAACTATCAAGTTGATCATATAAGCACTACACCTCATATGCATGTGAACTCCTAAAACACTATTCAAATCTTTCCACCCATTTATTTTCTTCCTCACATATTCAATTGCCTTAGTATTGGCAGCTGCATTATATGCAGTAATTGTGATTATCTTCTCATGTCACCAATCAATCAAACAATTTTCAAGCAATTTCCCAATGCTCTCCCACTTATGACTATCAATTACACAAAAATTTATGATCCTTTTGTGCATTTTATAGTCGGAATCCACAAAGTGGGCAGTCAACACCATGTAATTCACATTTTGAACCGATGTCCAAGTATCGGTTGTAAGGCATATTCTATGTGAACGAAGGTCAACTTTCAACTTCTCATTTATTTTTGTGTACATTTCTATCAATCTTCTTCCAAGAGTTCTACGAGGGTGGATTAAATTATGGGCATGCAACACTACAAAATTCCCTAAACCCTTCACTCTCCACAAAGCTAAAAGGTAGCTCATCTTGAACCACCATCCTAATACAAGCATCCAAACAATCATCTTTGTTAAACTTCTTAGAAACAAGAGCATTACCCTTGGATGCATCAAATGTGAGCGTCTGTGTGTTCTTATCCTTGTGCTTATAAGGATATTGCAAGCATTATTTGTTTAGATGCTTCCACATGTTGCTAATCCCATTTTTCTTGGTATCACTAGCATAAGTAGCACTACAATACTTGCACTTAGCCTTTTTTTCAACTTCTTTTCTTTAGTCTCATCTAACCCTTTCAAATCCAATACCAAATCATACTTTTCAAAGTGTTCCCACACATCACTCTCCTTCTTACAAGGTTTCCTTTTCCCGGTACTAGGTTCTAACGGTGATGGTGTTGGATTTTGTGATGCTGCTGTAGGAGGTACAATAGCATCACTACAGGGTAGAGAATCATCATTCCCATGCATTTGAGCCTCATTAGAAGCAGGTTCCTATTCATAAACACATTAAAACCATATTTAAACACAGCCAAACAAAGTTTTACTACCCATAAACATATTAAAACATATATCCTACTAAAAAAAAACACATTTAAACTGTCATTCCTATGCATACAACTCCGTAAACATATATCCTATCCAAAAATCAGATTTAAACACAGTAAAAACAGATTTTTCCTATTCAAAGATGCAAGAAACAGAGTCAAAACAAATTTAAACAGATTTAAATCACATACAGATTACAAATTACAGATTTAAACACAGTACAAACAAATTTTTCCTATCCAAAGATGCAAGAAACAGATTTAAACATATTACAAATTACAGAATACAAAAACATATTACAAAAACAGATTTAAACATATTACAAACACATATTTAAACAGATTACAAAAACATATTTAAACATATTACCAGCAGCAGCGAATATTTACCTCCATTTAAGCAAAATTTTCCAAACTTTCAAAGTTCAGCAACAGCAGCGACGTTGAAAAACTGTGAATGAAATCAAAAAAAGAGTTAGGTTACAAACAAGCTTCATTCATTTCATAAATTCAAACCAAATACCCTTAAATACCCATTGCTCTAAAAAAAATCCTAAAATTAAAAACAAAATTTGAACTGCATGTCTTAATCTTTAATATGTAACTAACCAAAATTTGTTCAAAAAAATTGAAGTATCATGCATGAACAATGTCAGATTGCAAATAAATCATCACTCTTCCATCTATTCTTTAATAAAAACATAAACTAACCAATCAAAACAGACCTAGCATGCAACACAACCTATTTAACAAAAAGAAACATAAACATAATTAACACAGCAGCATAACAACAGAATAGCAGCAGTAGAAACAGAACCTAGTAGTTTCACAGAACTTAATTTCATAAAACAAAAATTAATTGGTATCGGCCCTGATTAGAATAATTTAACAGAAGAACCTAAATGCTAGCAGCCCTAATTTGTATAATGCATGATACTTACAGTTCATAATTTCTTTGTCAATTTCAAATAATCATCACAACACAGCATAACCTAATTGGTGGTAGCCCTAATTCAACAACCCTAAAGGCTAAAACCTTAACAGAAAAAATATATCATCACATCAACCTCAACCACCAAATCGACAAGCCTAATTTAAAAGAAAAAAACCATAAATTTAATTTAGAATAAACCCTAAATTCAAAGGAAGATGATGCTCTCACCTTTGACTGATATGACAGAGAAACCCACAGAAGAAATCACAAGAGAGGAATAGATGTTGTCGGCGATAAAAAACTGAGACTGAGAAACATAGAAAAATCGAGATAAGAAGAGAGAGCAAAGAGAGAGTTCGCGGAGCAAAGACGCGATGGGAAAAAAATTGAACAAATAAGAGAAAGAGAAGCTGACCTGCGTGCAGGGATGGAGGCGGCACGGTGGCTGATCGACTGAGAGTGAGAGGATCGAACTAGAGACGGTTGAGAGAGAGAGGCGTCACAGACTCGCAGCCTCTTAGGTCGAAAACAAAATGAAAACAGAAGAGAGGAGAAGACTGAGCGAAAGAGAAGAGAGAGAGTCACGTGTGACTCACACGGTGTGAGGGTTAAGGGAAAAATTAAAAAATTTGTGAGGGATCTGCTGCAAGCAGTCTCACATGAATACTTTTTTGGCCAATCATATGACGCCACGTGTAATAATTATATATATTTAAATATTACCGGTTCGGTTCAGGTTCTTCCGAAAAAATGAGACCCGAAGGCCGAACCATGGACCTTCAGTTCGGTTCAGGTCCATTGTTGACTTTTTCGATTTGGTCAAAAAACACTCTGTTTCGGTTTTGTTTGGTTTGGTTTGGTCGGTTTGATCAGTTTATCGGTTTTTATGCCCACCCCTAATTTTTTATACATCTAGAATCATTCTCAAACGTGGCATAGGCAAGAATTACTTTTGTTAAGAAAATACTGGGTAAAGCCTCCCGGCTATACTATTTTTTTTTAAACAAGGGAAAAACAAGTATAGCCACCATGGTATACTAATTTTTAAAATAAAAAAAAAAAAAAAAAAAAAAAAAAAAAAAATATAGCCGCTATGGAAGTACTATTTTCTAAAATAAATTCGGAAAAAAACCGAGTATAGCCGGTCGGCTATACTATTTTTCGAAATATATGAACCACCATTCTAACCTTTCTAAGAGAACAGATTCATCTTCATAGGAATCTTTGGATCTACCATATGAACCACCTTTGGCTACGATATTTTCTCTTATTCTTCCTTGTTTTTGTGTAAAATTTGAATTTTATAACTATTGTGCACGAATTGTAATAATTTGAGAAAATTTTGATAAATCACATCAACACACCATGTGGATATGTACACAAGCAATAAAATAACTTCTCAAGTGAGTCAGCGAATTACTAGAGTATTTTCATGATCACACATTTATTGATTCAATTTAGCACCCCAGCGGACATATATTTGTTCTGGTAAAGCCCTATAAACATAATATTTTAAACGTATAGGCGCACAGCTATACCCTTGAAATATCATAATCTGTGATTGAATGAATTGCACCAAAAAGATCAGCAAAACTGAATAATGCCAATACCAAAATAATACAGCAGAGTTAACACCGAACAGAAAACCAAATTATTCAAATTATTATTCAAATGAAAAAGGACTAGCACCATGGAAAGTGGCAAAAATATCATTGCAGTCCCAAGCCATATATGGTATCTTACAGAAGCTTCAAACTGGATGCCAAGCAACAGAAATAAGCCCAGACATCTTAATATAGGGAAAAGAAGAAAAGCCAGGCAGACTTCTGCTAGCAACCCAAACCGAGTTTCCACCTTTAGGTACTTGAGTTGCCATCTGAGATACAGTTTAAGCATCAATCATGATGAAGTTCTTGTTTCTAAATGTTCGAAATAGAAAACTTTCGGATATAGAACTCACGAATTCAGCATTAGTGATTTAGCAGGCTTCAAGTTCTTGAAATCATTTGAGATGCGTGCATAAAAATTCCAAGCTAAGAACAGGATAAAGAGGAAGACTGCTAGTATTTCTAGAGTGGACAAAACACCCAGAAGGGTGTTCACTACCAATGGATTTGTGAAGCCAGCAGTCAATTTCCTACCTTTTCTGCTATCAAAATTAAAGCACACAAGTAGAAGTTAAATTGGCATCTTGAGTGATCATAACCCAATGACATAACAACATGCACTACCTTCTTATTGACTCCCTTGGCTTCAAATTCAAGTAGAATGATCCAATAATAGCCAAAGCAATAGGAGGAAATGTATGCACAGCAAAATTAAGACCTGCAAAATATTCAGTATAGTGTTTGTCTTTCCCCCCATTGGATATAGCAGAAAGCAAAACCTATAAATCCAAATGAAATTTCAATTATGTACCATAATATCCAAACAGTGTAGCCCTTGCTTTATCTTCAGCCGCCTTCCATTTTCTTGTCCATAGCTGATGGTAACTCCATGTGAATAACCAAGTGATCAGAGAAAGATACTCTCTTATGAGAGCATATAATTCCCATGTTGAGGTGTTCCACTTTCTTGCCTGAAATTGGTGTTCACCAGTGTGATGTCTAAAGAGCGAGACTTTCCGCTGAAGTTTTAATTTCAGTTCGATGCGTGGAAAAGGGTGCAGATCCTAGAAGAACAAAATATTCTAGATGCAAAGCTACTGAAATCAGTGAACATGCCTGAAAGCCAATAACTGACTTGTATTTCAATAACCTACCCAGCCCAATCAAAAAGTTGTCCAGTCATGTTAAATCTTGACCAGTGGGTTAGTCAGCCATGCGTCAACTATCTTAGAAGTCCGTACCTGATACAATTTTGAAGCAGGAAATTTTCCAATCATGGTCTGCAAAGTTGCCTTGGGGAGATACAATAGTTGCTGCACGCTGAATATTCCTCTTTTGCTTATCGAGTCAGCAAGTTCAACATTCATGCATCGCATCATCCATAAGGAAGAATCCCCATCAAACCATAAACCCTGAAAAGAACCCAAAAGATGTGAGAAGAGGCCAGGAGGTGAAAACTCTACTTTCTTAAGGAACAAATCATCCGAGTCAAAGAGTAATTGTTAAAAATAAATAATTCGATAAATCAAAGCTGCGCCTTTTTCAGAAACAATTAGCGTACCATTTAAGTACAAGTGCTGCATATTGTCCTTACAGACAAAATATATATATATATATCTCATCTGCTGGATGTAGAATGTAATAACATAAACAAGGCAGAATGCCCAATTCGCACAAGCACTCGTCTTTTATTCTACGCAAGTACTACCACTAAGAAGTCAGAATTGTAACTACTAAGAAGAATACACGACCATTTGCAGAGGATGCATGCAAGAATACCTGCGCAGGCCGTCTAATCGCCGCCCAGCCCGCCTAGAACCTCCCAGCTCGCCTAGGCGCCACCTAGATCACCCCAAGCCGCCTAGATCACCCCTGGCCGCCTAGGAGCCCCCTAGATCACCCCAGGACGCCTAGGCGCCCCCTAGCTCCCTTATAGCATCAGAGTTGTTATCTTAGTGGAGATTTCTATAGCTGGATGACATTTGATGGTTTTCAGAGAGAGAGTCCAATCCAATCCAATCAACGCAGCAGCCAAAACGAAAGAAAAAAAAATCGAAGCTTGAGTTGAGAGAGAGAGAGAGAGAGAGAGAGAGAGAGAGAGGCTCTGTGAAGTTTGTAAGCGAAATGGCTGTCTGACTGCGAGTGCAAGCTTCGTGTTCGTTTTGAATGAATTTAAAGAGTATAGCCAAATGGCTATACCTTTAAAATATTCGGATGTGTTCAGAGAGTGGAGCCGCATGGCTGTACCGTTAAAGTAATATATTTAAATGGTATAGCCGAAAATATACAATGTTGACATGTTATTTTAGGGTTTAGGGCTAAAATACCACTTTTGCAAATTAGGATAGAGTTATTTCTTCAATTATTTTATTTATAGCAGTGATGTTGGGGAATAAGAATTTAAATACTTCTCAGTATCTCTCATTCTAATGATTTCCAGCTACTAGCCCATTAGGCAAGAATAAAAAAAGGATTTTATTTATAAGAAATAATACGGGTTAAATCCATAAATACAACAACAAAAAATAGGGATCCACCAACATTTTGGGGATAAAAGAATCTTGAATTTCATGGTATAAAATTGCTTGTGTAAGAATTTACTTTCTAAAATGTATCCATCGTAATTATGAACTAAATCCAATGACAACCTTTTTCTCACTGCACTTGACAACCCTGCCCTTCTGCTATGAGATATATCAATTCGTGTTGTATTCTCTGCAGATGAAAAATTGGAAACAAAACAGTCTAATAGGACAACGAAGAAAAGAGTTTTGAAATAAATTGAAGGTATCAAAGGTCGTCATATGGCATTGATATATATACAAACTATTCTAAATGAGATTTCAAACAAGGTGTTAGATGAGAAGTAGCATCTCAAGTTGTCTTCAATCTGTAAAGAGATACTATCATACATCAAATGGGCACCTGGGTATATTGAAAACAATAATAGGGGAAGAAAGCATTCTTATGTACACAGGCATTACATACAGACTGAAAATTTGAACGGCTTGAATAAAGACAAATTGTCACAAGTAAATGAGATATGATGATCTAGAGTTAAAGATCCTCCCCAAATGTTCCAAGCAGAAGATTCCTAAAGAAGAAATCTGAATATGACAGACATTTCAGTGGAACAATGCGTCACATTTCTTCCCTTCTCAGTTCAATCAAGGGAAACCAAGCTACATGAGATTGCCATTGGTTTTGTTGATGATGATCACTATCTATTTATGCTAAATAGTTTAATTTTATATGTTGTGCGTATATTAATGAATTTTTGTTTTATAGGTTCATTTGTCTCTAGATCAACATATTCCACCCGTTTCTAGAATATGGCATGAACAAAGTGACATATGCAATGTAACTCATTTGTACTTGAGGTACCAAGCATTTGTGAATGCGTTTTGACAACTTCCGGGCGTGGAGAATGTAGCTACTACAGATACGGTCATCCAAATGACTAACGAAAATGCACCCACTACTTAATTGAGATTATAAATATAATAATTCTATTTATTTTCTTATATCCCTTTTTTTGGTGGGACAAACTTCATAAGGGTCTGAATGAGTTCTAAAGTTCCAAAGTTCCATGAGTTCTAATACAAACATGCAATAACTAGTCAAAACAACAAAAGTTTCACGAGTTCTACTAGACGCATGCTAGCAAGTTAGTTAACCATGACGACACTGATATGTCATGGTAAACCATATGTTTGTACCTTCTAAAATCCGCTGCTAGGTCTCAACTCCTTGATAGACTTGGGAAGGTCTTGTACACAATGCAACTGTTTCCCCTAATGCCACGGGCAGCCTAGTAAAGGACAACATACGCTCGTCATGCTCCTGTAATGAATTTTAATTCAATGCATTAGTAAAAAGTACAAAATTGAAAAAGTGGAAGTTATAACAAATTTATAATTTTACCTCTTTCTATAAAATCACCCTTTCTTTTAATCTTTAGTTATTACAACGACATCCAAATTTTTATTAAAAATTTAAAACTTCTTTTTATTTATTTTTTTGCCAAAAAAATTTGAAAGTACATGGAAGTGACTTGTGGAAAACACTTCTTAGAGTTCGTTTGGGAGTCAGAATTACTTATAGGGAGAAGTACCTTACACGTGCTTGCTTTATAAAATCATTTAAACCACTTAAAGTGATTATCTATAAAAGTGATTTTTGATACATCTAGAATCATTCTCAAACGAGCCATAGACTAGAATTACTTCTGTTAAGAAAATACCTGGTAAAGCCTCCTAGCTATACTATATTTTTTAAAAAAATAAGGGAAAAAATAGGTATAGCCGCCAGGGTATACTAATTTTTAAATAAAATTAGGAAAAAAAAACCGAGTATAGCCGCTTGGAAGTACTATTTCTAAAATAAATTTAGAAAAAACCGAGTATAGCCGGTCGCTATAATATTTTTCGAAATATATGAACCACCATTCTAACCTTTCTAAGAGAACGGATTCATCTTCATAGGAATCTTTGGATCTACCATATGAACCACCTTTGGCTACGATATTTTCTCTTATTCTTCCTTCTTTTTGTGTAAAATTTGGATTTTATAACAATTGTGCATGAATTGTAATAATTTGAGAAAATTTTGATAAATCACATCAACACGTCATGTGGATATGTACACAAGCAATAAAATAACTTCTCAAATGAGTCAACGAATTACTAGAGTATTTTCATGATCACACATTTATTGATTCAATTTAGCACCCCGGACATAAATTTGTTTTGGTAAAGCTCTATAAACATAATATTTTAAACGTATAGCCGAACGGCTATACCCTTGAAATATCGTAATCTGAATTTCTCTTTTTTAATTACATTATTTAGTAGTTATGTTTTAGTTATTATTTACTTAGTGAATCATTAGTATTTAAGTATTTTATTGAAGAAAAAAATTGAAAAAACCAATTATTATTTATTAAGTAATATATTTATGAAATTAATTAAAACATTTAATGCTAATTATTCACAAAATAAATTATTATTAAAGCATAATTACTAATGAAAGTAATTAAATAAGGCTAAGATTTTATCCAATTACTAAAATGAAAATTTAAAATAAAAATTTACTGACCTAAAGATACTAAGCTTATACTTATTATTTAAAAAAACCTCTACCGATGAACTTTCGTCAACACAGGTCTATCTCGGCCCAATTCTGCCGGATTAGACCTCTCCCGATGACATTTTGTCGGATCGACTTTTATTTTTTGCCCAACTTCTTTAATTTAATATATATACTAGCCAGCATGTGCCAAATGGTTTTCTTTTCTCTTTTTTATTTCATTTTTAGAATTAAGAAAAGATAATATGGGTGGTTATGTTCCATAAAAGTTGGATCTATTATTTGATTTTGTTTTTAATTTTAATTTTTCTAATATAAATACCATATTATCCTCATTTAATTAATAATTTCAATTCTTAATGTTTGAATTAACCAAGGGCATTTCTAGTATTTTGAATGTTTCACAATTCTTTGCCTTTTACTTTATATATATAGATTAAGTAATATCTTAGCCTTTTTTAATTACTTCAATTAGTAATTATATATTAATCGAATATAGACATGCTGCTGTACTTTTTAAATATTCGAATATATTTAGGAAATATGACACGGGGCACTTGAAAGATAAGCAACGTCATTATATCACTTCTCATACACGTGCAACACATAAACAAGGCATAAATTTTATCTCAATCCTAAGCGCACACAGAGGAACAAGGCTAGAACGTAAACACATACCATGTCTAATTGATTCATTATCTCAAGGCTCATCTTTGTTATAGAGAAATCCAGATTTTTGTTGTTATATTTATAGAGTATAGCCGCTCGGATATACTCGTAAAATAGAATATTTTAAAAGTCCACCCGCTCGGCTATAAACATTTAAAAGTGTAGCCGTAACAGAATATTTTAAAAAGAGTATAGCCGCCTGGCTATACTACATAAATAAAATATTTTAGAAGAGAGTATCATCGCTCGGCTATTCCATTTTCTAAAACGTTCATGAAACAATTCGAGACCCTTCCTTGATATGTAGCTGAAGCGATGAATGTCCAGATCAATCTCAAAGTAGTTAGGACCCTGCATGTGAGAGAGCTTGATAAAGTCAAACATGGTTTTTATGTTTCATCTTCTTAACACTCAGCAACATAAATGTTCAATGTTTACCTTGTAAAAATGTGCTGGGGGCATGAAAGAACTGGTTTGTCATTATATACATGTACAAGCTTCTTCTCAGCAGAACTCCGACCGATATCCTCAAGAATTACCGCCCCAGCCAAGATCTTTAGTCTTTCTCTAAAAGGAACAGTGGAGTCCTTTGCAAATCCTTTAACTTTTTCCGTCTCCTCGTCAACCATTTTCTAAAAGCAATCAATTCTTTCATCATGAGACTATTTCAATAATTTATGGCTCAAACGCTAGGCTAGTTAACCAACTTAACACTTGGAAATTATTAGAATCAAAAGGATGACACACGGAGATCTCTATGTTTAATGAGTATGGTGGCACTATCAGAAAGCACCTTGGTTAGAAGCGACTGGTAACTTGAAGCACTACACTAGTTATTCAATCAATTTGTAGATGAAAATTTGTGCAATCATCATAAAAATCAAATGTTTGATTCAAACCTTCACAAACAAAGTGGGATAAGCCACTTATCTATATTATGCCCCAAATCTTTAGTTCTGAATCACTAGAACATAAACATGACCAGAAAACAAAAAGATAGTACAACCACCTCAAGAATAACTCAACAAAACCTTAGTCCCTATTATCTATCTTAAGCCCCAAATCTTTAGTTCTTACTCAGGTTTAACTAATTAGTACCTTTCTCTTAAGTAGTTGGTATTTGTTGAGATTTGGATTGTCAAGGGAGCTAGAGAGCAAAAACCTGAGAGAGATCTTGAGCAAGAAGAAAAAATGGTTATGACCACTACTCCTCTGTAAAACCGTTGCAGCAGAGAACTTCATGCATACCCAAAATGTGTTCTTACATCAGCAATTACAATCTAACCATTGGAGGTTAAGCCAATGTGAATATGACACATGGCATTACAAATCTTTAGAACCGCAGAAATAAGAGAGACAATCCTAAGCCTTACACTTGGCATATGAGCTCAAGGTGCTTAGCTAACAGACGACTTAAATGGGCTAAATATAAACTGACTAAGTGATTACTAACTAATCAAAAATTAGCTAGGCAGTTTACATTTTAACACTCCCTTCTAAAGTGCTAGCTGATTTCACTCGAAGCATACTCCTCAAATAGCTGAACCTGTCTTTGGGAAGTGCCTTGGTGAAGATGTCAGCAATTTGCTCTTCTCCTTTGCAGTAGAGCAGTTCAATCACTCCTTGGATTGCTTCTCTAATAAAATGAAACTTCTTCTTAATGTGCTTGCTCCTTTGATGAAATACTGGATTTTTAGCCATTGCTATTGCTGAAGTGTTGTCACAGAACACAGTTGTTGCAACAGTCTATTCTTCCCCAAAATCTTCAAGAACAAACCTGAGCCAAATGGCTTGTGATGTAGCTTCTGCTGCACTCACATACTCTGCTTCTGCTGTTGAAAGGGCCACACTATGTTGTTTGACTAATGCCCATGAAAATGCACCACTTCCAAATGAAAATGCATATCCGGAAGTGCTTTTCATATCTTCCTCAGATCCACTCCAGTCACTATTACAATATCCTACTAAAAGTGCAGACTTTCCAGTCACATACTCAATTCCATAATCAATTGTGCCTTATATGTACCTTAGAACTCTTTTGGCTGCCCCATAGTGCATCTTAGAAGGATTGTGCATGAATCTTGCAAGCAGGCTAGCTAAAAACATGATATCAGGTCAGGTTGCAGTTAGATATAGCAAGCTTCCTACAATTTTTCTGTACAAGTTTTCATCTGCTGCTTCACTTCCATCCTCTCTTTGCAATTTATCAGTGGCAACTAATGGAGTGCTCACTGATTTGCAATCCTTGAGTCCAAACTTATCTAGGAGAGTGAGTGCATACTTCTTTTGATGGATGAAAATGCTCCGTTCAGTTTGTGTTACTCCCATACCAAGAAAATGATGGAGTAAACCTAAGTCAGACATTTCATACTTGCACAACATCTCAGCCTCGAATTCTTTCACCATTTCATCACTGCTTCCAGTATATACTATGTCATCTACATAGATTGATACGATTAATGTTCCCCCACCTTCCTTGGTTCTCACATAGAGAGTTGCTTCACTTGGACTTCTGTGAAAACCACACTGATATAAGTAAGTGTCGATTTCACTGTACCAGGCCCTTGGAGCCTGCTTTAGTCCATAGGGGGCTTTTCTTAATCTGTACACCTTATCCTCAGCTCCTTTAATCACAAAGCCTTCAGGTTGATCCACATAGACTTCCTTTTCAAGGACACCATTTAAGAAAGCTGATTTGACATCCAATTGCCACAATTTCCAGCCTTTCTGTGCAGCTATTGCAATGAGAGTTCTAATAGTGTCTAACCTTGCTACTGGAGCAAAGGTTTCATTGAAATCAATCCCTGGTTTCTGTGTGTAACCCTTGGCTACAAGTCTTGCCTTGTGTTTTTTAATGGAGCCATCGAGGTTTAGTTTTGTTTTATATATCCACTTCACTCCCACAATTGGTTTGCTGCCTGGTCTGTCAACCAATTCCCAAGTGGAATTCTTCTCTATCATTGATATCTCTTCAGTCATAGCCTTGTTCCAAGCTTCATCTTTGGCTGCTTCATTGTAACTTTTTGCTTCAATAATGCTCAGTTTACATTGAGCATAGACCTCACTTAAGTTCTTCCATTTTTGTGGAGTATGATCAAAAGTTTCAGAGATTGAAACTGGTGAATCATGTGTAGCTGACTCCAGAGTGGTTTGCAGATCTTTAACCACTTGTGATCTCTGAGGAGATTGAACTGACTGAAGCAATTCATTAGAATATGAATCAATTTCTGATATTCTTGAACTTTCTTCTTCATGCCATGGAATAGTCACTTGTACTTCTTCATTCAACTCCCAATTCCACATTGCTTTCTCATAAAAGATAATGCTCCTTGAAAGTTCAATCTTTTTAGTTTCTAGGTTAAAGACTCTATACCCTTTCTCACAAATCCCATATCCAAGAAATACTCTCTTCATTCAAGTTTCCTCTAGCTTGTGACTTTTCTGAGAAGGAATATGGATATAGCACAGTGAACCAAATATTCTCAAGTGTTTGACACCTGGTTTTTTCCCACTGAACTTCTTGAATGGAGTTGTATTATCCAGAGCACTTGTTGGACTTCTATTTTGCAGGCATACAGCTGTATTGACAGCTTCTGCCCAAAATTTCAAAGGAATTTTCTTCTCATGCATCATTGGCGTGAGAAATAACTAACGCACAAATTAAACCCTATAAATCATGCAATCGTAGTACGAGTAAGTAGGGATCGTTCTATTCCGGGGATTAGGAGGGATGCTAATCAACACAAATTAAACTTATTAAACTGGAAACTAAGTTAAGGGAACAATGATTGGGGGGAATTCTGACGATTTAGACTAAAGTAAGACTGACAGCAGCAAACAACTAAGTTGTGAATGAAATATGGATTAAGGGATAGCTAGAGGATTCTTCTCCACACATGGAACATATGCACACAAATCGATCTCCAGTTACTCTTTCTATAAAGTATGAATGACAAAGCCCCAAATTAATTGTGAATGCACTAATTAACTCTCAGATTTTCCTAAGTTCATTGAATTGGACTCAGCGACGCAATCAAATTATCCTTATCAAGTTCCCTATATGAACAGCATGATAGAGATACATATCAAAGATCATTAAGTTCTATGAAAATCATAAGCCTTGACAAGACAATTGTAACTATGAAAAGCATGATACTCCTGCCAAGAATTTACTTAACACAATCATGACTAGTGACTTTTACTACTTGTGAATATAAGTTCATAACGATTAGGTGAAATTCCCTTATATTCTAGCATCAAATCCCTGCATACAAACTAAGTATGCATCCTTAATAAACATGCAAGAATAAGTCCTCAATAAAACAGAAAAGTAAATCACATTCATACTTTATGAAACCATAACTGGAAGTAATCAATTCATGTAAAACATATGTCCATGGCTTCGAATTCACCTCTAACTAAGAAGAAATTCAGTTACACATGTTCATAATAATTGAAAAGCAATCTAGAATAAACATTTGAACTAATCAAGGGAAGAACTCTGAAAAACCCAATGGATGCAGCAGGTTCCGGCTCCAAGTTCTTCTTCTCCCTTTCTCCTTTCTTGCTACGGCACCAAAAGAACTCCCTTCTCCTGCGGCAACCCCTCCTTTATATATGTGGTAGATCTAGGGTAAAAGGGCCCAGCAGAAACCCACGAAATTAGGGTTTTGTTTGGAAGATTTCTTTAGGAATAATAGGGCCCAATAGAAACCCACGAAATTAGGGTTTTTAGGTTTCCTAATCTGAAATTAATCCCCCCCTTTTACAGCTGGAATTTAGGTCGAATAGGATTAGGATAAGGTAAAATAAAATAAAATCAGTTAGGGTTTTTTACTTCCCAGAAGCTGATTCTTGAATTAATTTCCCCATCTTTTTAGCACATTCCTAGCCTCTTCGAACTTCAAAAACGTCCATCCATCTTGGCCCATGCATATGCTACCCATTCCAAGTCCAAAACTGCTCTAAAATGCTCCAAAATGCCCTTTCTTGCCAATCTTGCCATCTGGACCTACAATAGTACGAAAATAAGCTAAATCACTCTAATAAATGGGAATTAACTAAGTAAATGCAAAGAAATAAGATACCAAAGTCGCATAAATATGCTCCTATCAAATTCCCCCACACTTAGCTTCTGCTAGTCCCTAGCAGAACAAAGAAAACAAAACAAAACCTAAACCTTCCAACAATTGCCTCAGGGATTTCCAATGAAACATGACATGTTAAAAATCACTACTCACACAGATTTGAGCCATCCTTACCCTCGAGCTCATACTTAATCACAGTAAACACTCACTAGCTCACATTTAATCAATTAAAACAACATTTGAAAGTGGTAACATGCCTTAGAGAATTCACTCAATTCCTCACCCGATATACTCTCTATTTTCACACAGATTTTCTGACCACACTCCCTATACTAAGTATATGTGAGAAGATTGATGTAAATGTGTAGACTAGCACTCACATATGTTATAACAAAGAAAGCACTTTCTGGAATTATTAATACGAACATGTATATGATCTCATGAACAGAATGCTACTACTTAGAAGCGAGAACCAGGGATTCCATAAGCTCATACCAATTTCAAACTCCACATATTGAAACACATAACAATCAAGATAGAAGTCTAAGGGTTGTATTGGGGCTAAGGTATTGGCTAACAAAGAAAGGTTAAGGATAAACAAAGGTTCTTAAAGTAATAGTAAACAGAGCAATGAAATCAACACTTGGAATTCAACTTGTGATTGCAGCACCCAATTTTTAGCACAAAGGGGAGATTTATTCAGATTCACATATCCCTTCTTTTTTTCTCTCTTTTTTTTTTTTTTTTGTTTTTTTGTTTTTTTTTTTTTTGACAACACTAATCCAAAGGAACAAATCCTTCCCCCACACTTGTTTTTTTGTTTTGTTTTGTTTTTTTTTCTGCAAATCGTAAATCAAAAGGAATTCCCAACAAGTCATGCTTGACTATTCTTTAAGAACAAGGGTATGGATATTCTTATACTAGGATAGGTAGGGATAATGCAAGCTAACAAAGAAAATAAGCTAAATAAGGCTTCAAAATGGTTAAACCTACAATGCATATGCAAGGGATAAGGCTTTTTGGCTCTGATGGTAACTAAACAACTTCATCTTGTTATTTGTTACGCAATCAATTTGATGCTTTGAATGGAACGGGCATGAGTTCTAGTATTTGGAACTAAAGAGATGAAAAAGCATTCTAAGTAGCAACCAAGCAAAGAAATAATGAGATCATGCAACGACTTTAGAAAACAAGAATATCAAGATTAATAACTCTCCAAACAAAGAACAGGCTCAAGTCTCTCAGGGTTGTAGCGTTAGTTTGAGTTCCTTCCTTCCAGCATGTTACAAAAACTGATTTTTTTTTTTTTTTTTTTTTATGTGAATTCGTGAATTCGACAACTATAACTAAGTATTAACCAAAGAGCATATCAGACTTCCACCCATGTTTGTAACTTTCTTTAAAAGTCATGCAATTAAAAACCAAATCCTCATCATTGTGTTGGAAGGTACCCTAAGACACAAATAAACAACAAAAACGACTCTTGACTCTTTTGTTTTTTTTTTTTTTTTTTTTATTTAATAAAAAATTTAAATAAAGCACGAAAACACTTTTTAAAACAGTGAATAACAACATTAGTAGTGATAGGTGGTGAATTTTGAAAATAAATCACGAAAAGCACTCTGTTTACCCCCCCACACTTAAACTAAACATTGTCCTCAATGTTTCAAAAGAAAACTTTAAACAAGAAAGCAATAAGAGACAACTAGCAAACAAGACAATTATAGCAAAGTAAAATAATAAAGAGAAGAGTAAAAGAGAGCAAATCTGGTTGTAGAGCCCGGAGATTCCGTTGTCTTTCTATTTGAACACATGGGTTGCCCTCCAAGAAGCGCTTGCTTTAACGTCTTCCAGCCGGACGGTACCTCCCTTTAAGCTTCACTAGGGCCAATGGCATGGAGGGGTACATCCTCCACTACATGCTCCCTCAAAAGACTCATAGTATGGCTTCAAACGGTGTCCATTCACTTTGAATTCATGTCCCGTCTTAAAACTTTGAATTTGGACTGCACCATAGGGAAAAAACATTAGTAACAACAAAAGGACCAATCCATTTAGAAAGCAACTTACCCGGAAACAAACGAAGGCGAGAGTTGAAAAGTAACACTTTCTGCCCCACAGAAAACGTTTTACTACGAATCATCTTGTCATGGGCAGCCTTTGTTTTCCTTGTAAATATGAGCGTTCTCATAAGCTTCAGTCCGAATTTCCTCAAGCTCATTCAATTTGCAATTTCCTATGAAGTCCAGCGGCATCAATGTTCATGTTGAAAGTCTTGACTGCCCAATGTGCACGATGCTCAAACTCAACTGGAAAGATGGCATGGTTTCCCATAAATGAGCCGAAAAGGAGACATTCCAATTGGTGTTTTGTAGGCAGTACGATATGCCCACAATGCATCATTCAAACGCAAGCTCCAATCCTTTCGAGTTGGTCCAACTGTCTTTTCCAAGATCTGCTTGATTTCCCGGTTGGAAACTTCGGCTTGTCCCACTGTTTGGGGATGATAAGGTGTTGAAACCTTATGCGTGACATTATACTTCTTAAGTAGTGCCCTCTATGGTCCGATTACAAAAGTGAGAGCCCCCATCACTTATAAGTACTCGTGGCATTCCAAATCTTGCAAATATGTTAGTTTTAATAAAAATCTGCAACCACTTTGGAATCATTGGTACGGGTGGCTTTTTGCTTCCACCCATTTTGAAACATAATCCACAGCAAGTAAGATATAATTAAAACCATGTGAAGAAGGAAAAGGGCCCATGAAATCAATACCCCAAACATCCAAAACTCTCAACAGAAAAGATAGGGGTTTGCGGCATTTGATCTTTTGCCCCTATATTGCCCGTTCTTTGACAACGATCACAAGTCATACAAAAAGTTCTAGCATCCTTAAAGATAGTAGGCCAATAAAATCCACATTCTAAAACCTTAAGTGCTGTGCGTTGTGTCCCAAGTGACCCCCACATGCATAAGTGTGACAGAAGGTTAAGATTGAATTAAACTCAGAATCATGCACACATCTACGAATAATTGATCAGGGCAATATTTCCACAAATAAGGGTCATCCCACACATAAAAACGTGCAATTTTTTAAGTTTATCGCGTTGGTGCCTAGTTTGGTGCTTGGAACTTGTTTAGACACAATATAATTCACAATATCAGATACCATGGCTCACTTACCTCAATGGTCAGCAATGCTCATCTGGGAATGCCTCTGGAATAGGTAGAAGGTCTTCTTCATGTACCAAACGGCTCAAGTGGTCAGCCACTACATTTTCACATCCTCTTTTGTCCTATTTTTCCACGTCAAACTCCTGAAGAAGAAGCATCCAGCGAATAAGCCTTGGTTTGGCTTCTTTCTTTGTGAGTAAGTACTTCAAAGCTGCGTGGTCAGAGTAAATTATAACTTTAGTACCAAGTAAATAAGAACGAAATTATCTAAAGCAAACACAACAGCAAGAAGTTCTTTTTCAGTGGTGAGTAATTCAATTGAGCATCATTAAGGTTCGGGATGGTAGTAGATGAGTGTGGCTTCTTGTCTTTCAGTTGTCCCAAAACAGCCTAAAGGCATAATCTGAAGCATCACACATAAGCTCAAACGGAAAGGCTCCAATCTGGTGGAACAATGATAGGTGCCGAAGTTAACAATTGTTGAGGTGATTGAACGCCTTCTCACATTTGTCATCACAACACAAACGGCACATCTTTGTAGAAGTCGGCACAAGGGTGTTGAAATCTTCGAGAAATCTTTGATAAAACGTCTATAGAATCCTGCATGTCCAAGGAAAGAACGAACCTCTCTCACCGAAGTGGGAGAGGGTAAGTGGCGTACAAGACATATTTTGATTTATCAACTTCAATTCCCTTTTCTGAAACTATATGTCCTAAAACTATGCCTTGTTTTACCATGAAGTGACATTTTTCCCAATTTAAAACAAGGTTTGGTTTCAATGCAACGTTTTAATATCAACGTGAGATTAGTTAAACAGCCATCAAAAGAGTCACCAAAGACACTGAAATCATCCATGAAAACCTCAATACCTCAAAATCTTCTCAAAGAAATCGGAAAAAGATACTTACCATGCATCTTTGAAAGGTGGCTGGTGCATTACATAAACCAAATGGCATTCGTCGATAAGCAAAAGTACCAAACGGACAAGTAAAAGTAGTCTTTTCTTGGTCATCTGGGGCTATAACAATCTGATTATATATCCCGAATAGCCATCAAGAAAGCAATAAAAAGAATGACCAGCTAACCTTTCAAGCATTTGATCAATGAACGGCAAAGGGAAGTGATCTTTCCTTGTGGTGGCGTTGAGCTTCCTATAATCAATGCAAACTCTCCAACCTGTTTGGATACGAGTGGGGACAAGTTCATTCTCTTCATTTTTACCACAGTGACTCCTGATTTCTTTGGTACAACTTGAACCGGTGAACACCCATCGACTATCCGAAATTGGATAAATGACCCACAATCAAGAAGCTTAATGATCTCCTTTTCACAACTTCCATCATTGGAGGGTTGAGTCGGCGTTGAGCCTCTCGGGTTGGTTTAGCCCCCTCCCTAGAAGTATGCGATGCATTTTTTTTTTTTTTTTTTTTTTTTTTTTTTTTTTTTTTTTTTTTTTTTTTTTTTTTTTTTTTTTTTTTTTTTTTTTTTTTTTTTTTTTTTTTTTTTTTTTTTTTTTTTTTTTTTTTTTTTTTTTTTTTTTTTTTTTTTTTTTTTTTTTTTTTTTTTTTTTTTTTTTTTTTTTTTTTTTTTTTTTTTTTTTTTTTTTTTTTTTTTTTTTTTTTTTTTTTTTTTTTTTTTTTTTTTTTTTTTTTTTTTTTTTTTTTTTTTTTTTTTTTTTTTTTTTTTTTTTTTTTTTTTTTTTTTTTTTTTTTTTTTTTTTTTTTTTTTTTTTTTTTTTTTTTTTTTTTTTTTTTTTTTTTTTTTTTTTTTTTTTTTTTTTTTTTTTTTTTTTTTTTTTTTTTTTCGAAATCCAGTTAACTGGTGGGACGGAAACTGAATATCGCATCGCCCTAAGATCGTCTTTTCGGAATGATACTGCCGAAGGTGTACGGGCTGTTTTGGTGGACAAGGATCAGGTTCGTTAATATGTTCAAGATTATTCCTTCCTATAAATTGGCGGAAGAATGTAGTTCAGGAAATCAATGATGACAAGAGAGCAATTTGGCTTGAAAAATCATGTCCTTCGTTTGATGTTTGCAACACGCGTCACATGGATCAACTTGAAGCTCTCCACCTCTCCACGGGTATTTCAATTCACGGAATTTGAGCTTACCCTTTGTGAATGGTCCTCAATTACAAAGGGAAGGAACTCAGAGTGCGATTCCTGCAAGCAGTTTCAATAAAATGTGGAGTGGACTGTGGAGAGATAAACGAACAATTGGTCTGTTTCTGTTTGGCAGCTGAGAAAATGTATTGCATAACTTACCAAGGAAAGCGCGATTGCAGATTTTGATCTTTTCCGAGTAGCCCCTGAGATCTGAACCGTTTTGGATATCCTACCGACGTCGTCCCAAGTGAAGGCATCATTGGAGGCTGAGACTGATGCAGTACGACAAGTGACAATTTTGTGAAAAGCTTGCTGGTTGGAACGAACTGGGAACGACGTCGTAAGTGTCTTGGGGAAAGCGCGAAAAGCTTTTGCTGTAAAACGGAAGGCGAGAGAGTCGACGAGTCTGTGAGAGCTGAGGAAAGCCGCTGCTGCAGCCCAAGAGAGCGGGTTCCAAAAGAAAAAAACGAAAAATCGGCCTAGGCGGCCTAGGCGGGTTTTTTTTATTTTATATATTTTTTATTTTATATATTTTTAAATTTATATTTATTAGAACCTGATTGTCGAGGCACTGCAAGATACATATATAGCACCAATTAATCCAATGAGCCAGTTTCCATTCATCATACAGATTAATATAGCCAAAATGACTTGCTAGAGATGCATCAAAAATTGATTATAATTCATTGTTTAATCACCTAGACCAAGGTAAAAAAAACAAGGTGGCCCAAATCGCAGAAACAAACCGTAGCTCATTCCTTATACCTGGACCATGTTCTTCCCCTAAGCTTTTGATTACATCTCCCACAACTCTCGTCCTGTGCTGAGTGATGAATGCAACCGCCATTAGAGTTTGAATTTTTTGGTGGGAAAGTAAACACGTCCTTGAATTCACGGAATTTTAGCTTACCCTTTGTGAATGGTCCTCAATTACAAAGGGAAGGAACTCAGCGTGCGATTCTTGCAAGCAGTTTCAATAAAATGTGGAGTGGACTGTGACTGTGGAGAGATAAACGAACAATTGGTCTGTTTCTGTTTGGCAGCTGAGAAAATGTATTGTATAACTTACCAAGGAAAGCGCGACTGCATATTTTGGTCTTTTCCGAGTAGCCCCCAAGAAAGCCTCAATCACGAACTGTTCAGTTAGAATTAAATGCTAAAAATAGTTATAAATGAAAAGTTGCAAGAAAATCAAATGAACAACAATAAAAGAGTTAGCTGGCTTCCTTCCTACATGACCATTGAAAAAAACGACCATACTCAATGCTACCACCGAAGTTTCTAACCCTACAAAAATCTTAGTATCTACAGGTCAGTACATTTTATTTTAAATTTTCTTTTTAGTAATTAAATAAAATCTTAGCCTTATTTAATTACTTTCATTAGTAATTATGTTTTAGTCATTATTTATTTTGTGAATAATTAGTATTAAATATTTTAATTAACTTCATAAATATATTACTTAATAAATAGGAATTGGTTTTTTTTTTTTTAATAAAATACTTAAATACTAATTATTCACTAAGTAAATAATAATTAAAACATAACTACAAAATAAAGTAATTAAAAAAGAGAAATTCAAATTACGATGTTTCAAGGGTATAGCCGTGTGGCTATAAGTTTAAAATATTATGTTAACGGAGCCTTACAAAAACAAATTTATGTCCGGAGTGCTAAATTGAATCAATAAATTTGTGATCATGAAAATACTTTAGTAATTCGCTGACCCGCTTGAGAAGTTATTTTATTGCTTGTGTACATATCCACATGACATGTTGATGTGATTATCAAAAATTTTCAAATTATTATAATTCGTGCACAATAGTTATAAAATTCAAATTTTACACAAAAAGGAACAATAAGAGAAAAACTGTAGCCAAAGGTGGTTCATATGGTAGATCCAAAGATTCCTATGAAGATGAATCCATTCTCTTAGAAAGGTTAGAATGGTGGTTCATATTTTTTTGAAAATAGTATAGCCGCCCGGCTATACCAATTTTAACCTAATTTTTTAAAAACCAGTATTGCCCGGCGGCTTTACTCGGTATTTTCTTAATTTGAAAAAAAAATTAGTATAGCCGTTCGGCTAGACTCGGTTTTTAAAAATATTCTGACGAATCGGACTCGAACTCATCATATCGAACGTCTAGGGCACAGAGCAAGCCCGTTCCAGGTTTTGAGCAGTGTTCGAGATATCGGCCTAGGCGCTAGGGGGGAGGACACCGACACCAGGGAGTTAGGGGGGGCCTAGGCGGCTTGGGAGGATCTAGGCGGCGCCTAGGCGGCCTGGGCAAATCTAGGCAGCCTGGGAGGATCTAGGAGGCACCTAGGCGGCCTGGGCGGCGCCTAGGCAACCTGGGCGGATCTAGGCGGCACCTAGGCGGCCTGGGCGGGTCTGGGCGCCAGGGCGGGTCATGTCCTTGTTTTTCCAAATGAAGACAGACGAAGCTTGCTGGTGCGAGGAGCAAAGGTGACATGTATATAGTGTGTGTATGATAATTGTATGAATATATTAACATTATGGAATTTGTGATGCAATTGGAGTTCTCTGACAAACTAGGCATAATAATTTGCACATTTTCTGGTGGTTAAACAAATAGGATTGTCCTTGCTTGCTATTTCTTTTATCTCCTACTGACCTCTATTTCTGTTTACTGTCTTATGCTGTCATATTGAGATAACGAAGTCACATGAATTCGCTCAGGCTGCTTTTCGTGGATATAAGTCTCTGAACCGTATTCAGAGCCGCATATTCCGTACTGTTTATTACACTAATGAAAATATACTAGTAAGTTATTGATTCTGTTGATTATGTGAATACCAAACCATTGCAGTGAAAGTGCTGATATGATACTTGCATGTTTGTGCTCCAACAGGAGCTGGCAAAACCAACATAGCTGTGATTTCTATTCTACATGAGGTATGCAAATGATTGGCTATTCCTGGGTCTCTATTCTCATTTTTGGTAATCATACTTTTTCTCTTACTACGTAGGCGGTTACTTGCATAAAGATGAATTATAGATAGTTTATTTTGCGCCAATGAAGGTATCCACCCTATATATATAACTTTTTCCTATTTTTATTTTCTGAGTGGAGGGGGTTGGGGAAGGAGGCATTGAAATAGTGGCTTGTTACTTATTATCATTTATTTTTCAGGCATTAGCTGCAGAAGTTACATAAACTTTAGTCATCGCGTATCTCTATTGAATATGACTGTGAGAGAACTTACTGGAGACATGCAGCTTTCTAAGAACGAACTTGAAGAAACTCAGGTCACTTTTATCAATTATGCGTGATCCGTGTGCAAAAACTGTTACCCAAAAGAGGAAAATGAAAACCTTAATGGCTTCACTTTCTTCTTATTAAGATGATAGTCACTGATTGATTATTTTTTCATATAAAGTGATTAAATGCTTTTAGATTTTGACATTATGGGTCCACTGTGTTTCCTATTATGGTTATAGAATTCTTTGGTTTCTGTTTTTTCAGTTGTTTTTGTTTGTTTGTTTTATTCACACTCAGAAGTCTGAATGATATTTGCTCAGTGATGCTATTCATGTATGTAGTCTTTTGCACGTCAGCTTGCCATTAGTATGAGCTCTGCAGTCAAAATTAACTCATTTTATTGTGACTGATCTTTTCACTTAACTTGACAAGTTTTGATAAGAGCTTGTTCAGTATGTGACAGTAAATATCATGTATTTTGTACACAAGTTTTTTCTTAAACCTTTGTTGAAACTAGTAGGAATTGTTACAGAAGAAGTTATTGTCTGCTCAAGTTTTCATTTTGATCAATTTCATAGACACATTACAGAGGTATCAAATGTCAATGTTTAGCCGTAGGGTTCCCTTTGGTTGTGGTTTTTGTGAGTTTTGTTTTGGAGTGGTTGAGCATTACAGAGGTATCTCTCTCTTTATCCACATCTATCTATCTATCTCTCCTCTCTCTCTCTCTCTCTCTCTCTCTCTCCTCTCTCTCTTGGGGTTCAGTAGTTGAGCATTGAAGTCTTTGAAAGCGTGTTCCTTTTCTTTAATGTCACCATGGCATTGGACAATTAATTATTGTTTCATTTTTTCTTACCCACTCACAAGGAAAAACATTTCTAAGTAACAACGGTTTGGGGTTTTCACACTGTAAGTCTTTGTCCCTTTTCTTTAAAGGTGTATCATCACTACACTTCTCAACACTTGACATGTGTCTATGGGTATAATCATGGTTCCATGATATAACCATTATTTCATACATTTTTATTATCTTTCTCTTAGATTCTTGCTATGTTCTTGAGTGAGTTTAGTCCATTTTTACTTAGTTTTGTGTTTTACTAGGTTTGAAGAGTAAATATGGAAAAGCAAGCAAAAGGAGAAATTTTGGGATTGAAATATGATGTGAAATCCTAGGAGCAGAATGTGCTGTGCAGAACAGTCAACTTGACAGAATATACTGTACTTTCTCAGAGCGAACCAGATGTTGAGCCTTATATTGTTGGAAAGATACGGATGTTAGCTTTCTGTAGAATTTTACGGTTCGTGATTTGTACATGTGTGGAGAGAGTTGTGGCTGTTTTAGTACAGACAGTTCGGGCAGAATGTGTTCTGCGGGTTTTGCAAAATAATCCATTTGAAGTCCAATCCTTGGAGTTTAATTTGTGTCAATTACATTTGGGAAGTGTCTACAAGGATGTGGAGTTATTTTCTGAAGTCTGATCCATATTTAGTAGGATTTTGGATGCCAACTCATCAAAGACAATTGAAGCCAAACTAGGAAAGGATAGTTACCAAGTCAAAAGAGGATTTGTTCCTTATTTAAAGAAGACCAGAAAATAGGGTTCTCTTATGCTGGAATTTGAAGGAGAGTCAAAGAGTCGCTGCCATTGTCAAGTTCTCAAGCATCGTCACAATCCATAAGTTTTATTTTATGTTTTCTAGTTTTTCAATTATGTTTTCTTTGAACATGAGTAACTAAATTATTCTCTAGGGTGAGGATGACGCCCGAGCATGGATAGTTATGATTTTTAATGTTATTTAATGGATTCTAAGTTTCTTTTAGATGAATGTTTAATCACTATTTTAATTGTTGATATTTGTTTAAGTTCTTTGATTGATCACCTTAGGGCTTTGCATCTAGTAAATTGGAAGAGGGAATTTGAGGTAGAACTCGCAATATAATTCAATCAGCTTCTTGTGATTAAGTGTGGTGAATTACATTATTGCTTGACGAAGAATAATGGTTTGCTTGGTTCTCTCGTTTTCTAGAACGTAATGAATTCAACTTGTTAAATTTATGCCTTAACCAGGATAGGTTGCAGGATTGGATATATGATCTTTGTCTGAACTAGAAAAGAATCGTACACTTAAGGAAAACTATGGTCTGAGTGCCTGAAAAGGACTTAGATACGGGAATTATCATCTAAAGAATCAAAAGAATCTATTAATGAAAATAATTAAATAAGGCTAAGATGTTATTTAATTACTAAAAAATAAATTTAAAATAAAAATTTATTGACTTAAAAATACTAAGTTCAAATTTATTTTTCAAATTTGTGGTCTCGTGTTTTGCAAGTGCATATTGATTTCTCTTCCATCCAGTTTGGTTGTATTTTGGCATGATATGGAAATCAATGCACCCTGGTGTGCTTCATATCTTGTTGATAGCTTTTTTGGGGTTCTACTCACTTGGTAATCCGGTGCCCTCCAATGCTTATGTATCCTTCCTAGTGCTTTACTGATGACCCGGGTCTTATATGTTTCCTGCTGTTTTCGAGATTCATCCCTTGTAATTTTGCAATAGTTTCTCTCTTTTAATGCGGTGTTGATTTAGTCCTGAGTTAAGTTGCCTATTATTTTATTGCTTGTGTACATATCCACATGACATGTTGATGTGATTTATCAAAATTTTCTCAAATTATTATAATTCATGCACAATAGTTATAAAATTTCAAATTGTACACAAAAAGAAGGAACAATAAGAGAAAAAATCGTAGCCAAAGGTGGTTCATATGGTAGATCCAAAGATTCCAATGAAGATGAATCCATTCTCTTAGAAAGGTTAGAATGGGTGGTTCATATTTTTTGGAAAATAGTATAGCCGCGCGGCTATACGCGTTCTCCCCAAATTTATTTTAAAAATAGTACTTCCACGTGGCTATACTAGGTTTTTTCCTAATTTTATTTTAAAAGTAGTACAGCCGATCGGCTTTACTCGGCATTTTCTTAATTTTTTTTAAAATAGTATAGCCGTTCGGCTATACTCGGTTTTTTAAAAATATTCAGGCGAATCGGACTCGAACTCATCACTACGAACATCTAGGGCACATTTTTTTTTTTTTTTTTTTTTTTTTTTTTTTTTTTTTTTTTTTTTTTTTTTTTTTTTTTTTTTTTTTTTTTTTTTTTTTTTTTTTTTTTTTTTTTTTTTTTTTTTTTTTTTTTTTTTTTTTTTTTTTTTTTTTTTTTTTTTTTTTTTTTTTTTTTTTTTTTTTTTTTTTTTTTTTTTTTTTTTTTTTTTTTTTTTTTTTTTTTTTTTTTTTTTTTTTTTTTTTTTTTTTTTTTTTTTTTTTTTTTTTTTTTTTTTTTTTTTTTTTTTTTTTTTTTTTTTTTTTTTTTTTTTTTTTTTTTTTTTTTTTTTTTTTTTTTTTTTTTTTTTTTTTTTTTTTTTTTTTTTTTTTTTTTTTTTTTTTTTTTTTTTTTTTTTTTTTTTTTTTTTTAAAAATTTAGGAAAAATAGGTATAGCCGCGCGGCTATACGATTTATTAAATAAAATAAAATAAAAAATCCGAGTAAAGCGGATCGGCTATACTATTTCTTGTTAAAAAGATTAGGAAAATGAATATAGCCCCGCGTTTATACGATTTCTTTTTTAAAAAATTAGGAAAATGAATATAGCCTGGTAAAGCCGCACGGCTGTACGATTTCTTTTTAAAAAAATTAGGAAAAAAACCGAGGTTTGCCTTTTTGTTTGGTTGTTGTTGGTGATTCATTGTTGTGTTGTAGCGGTGGAGTTGACACAAAAGTATTTCTCCACAGTTGCATCTGCGCCAACTATACACTGTGAGTTTGGAGTTTCTACCTTTTCGTTTCTTTCATCATGTGGTTGCATTCCTTTTGGTAGGTTTTGTTTTCTAGTAGCTCCCCTGTTCTGAAAATAACATTTGTAATCTACTTGTCCACATCCAGTTAACTGGTGTGACGAAAACTGAATATCGCATCGCCCTAAGATCGTATTTGCGGAATGATTTTGCCAAAGGTGTGTGGGCTCAAACTGAATACCAGCTTGAGCTATTGCAAGTATATTCAAAAACACTGGATGCATCCATTGCTCCTCTCTTGTCTTTGATTTCTGCTGTTGCAGGAACTGGAAGCAAAAACAAAGTACTGAAAAAACTGATAATCTCAAAACGCAATTAAAGTCTGACGATACGCAGAAAACAGGTTTACATAAAGTCTAATGATCTTTCAACTCAATTAACTAAATTTGATCACAAAGTAAAATTCATTCTTGATGTGCAACCATTTCCATGTCTGTTCTGGATGGTCAAGCCTCATCTTCTGTGGTTTTCTCTTGCAAACTCTCTGAAGGTTGCTTCTCTTTGGCCTTGGAGGCAGCAGCACTGCAATTTCATGGGGAAAAAATAGATTAATTCAAAACTTATTACCAAAGGCGCAAAAGATTAATCACTTTTATAAGAAAAAGATTACTAAGATTATCAATATTCTGCAATTATTGTGAGAATCAATTATATTATAAGAAATGTGCTTTATGAAGAACCACATTATGAAATGACAAAAATGGATTCCAAAATTAGATGTTTGAATTTCTTTTAAGCTTTTACTTTTAAGAGACGAAGTTATTTGCACGTGACGTGTGTGACATGAGTATGAGTAGGAGTACAAATAACAATTAAGTAATATATACCCTTATTTATGCTCCCCGCGCTAGCGCGGGAGCATTGGGGGATTACAAATAACGCTTCTTATTTAATTTTATTTTTTTAAAATCTATCTCATCGCACGCTCCTTAAAAACAATGTTATCCCTCCTCCCACCTAGCAATCTCCCCTTCCTCTTTCTCTTTTCCATCTCTATATAAATAAATAAAACAACAAATAAACATTATCAAACAAAAGTATAAAGTTTTGCACAACCTGGATTCTCCTGGTGAACTAGAACTTGCATTCCCCTTCAGATTGGATTCAAATAATACTGGTTCTATGAGCCGGATGTCAAAGACCTTCTCTTCTGCATCTTCCAAAGTTGACCAGTAATTGTATCCTTGTTCATACTTTCTCATCTCAGTTATGACATGAGAGGGCTACGTTACACAGAATAAATATTCACATATCAGTTATTTATGTGTATATGTATGTTGTTTTGGTTAAACAAAAAAAAACAAGGAGGCAGAGAAAAATTAAGATCATAGTCTTACCAGATCAGGATGGATTGGTGAATTGAGACCATCAGATTGATCATGCTGCAAGTCTTCTTCTTTTGATTGGTTTTTTTTCCCATCAAGTTCTTCCTTCTCCTTGCAAAGTTCTAGGTGCTGTTTCATAATATGGAGTTCTCTTTCAAGTCCCTGAATTTGGGCATTGAGACCTCTGATAATGCCAAGACAACCATTCACAGGATCATTTTTCCTTGCATTCCCTTCCGTGAGAATGCTTTCAGCAGCTGCCTGTCTTTGATCAGGTGCAGCCATGGCCATGATCTTTTGGATGTTGCTCACACCAAAGATCTTATGAGCATTTTGGAACTCACTGTACCTGCTGGCTGGAAAGTATGGGGCCATTTCACAGGTCTCGTCACATTTTCTCCTCTGCTGCTTGCAGGAAGCACAAGAGCTGCACCCTGATCCCTATTTTCCATGATTGCTTGTTCTAACGGAAAATGAACCAAACAGAAGCAATTGAGGGTGAGGAAAAGCAAAGAAATTGGGATTTAATTGAGAGTTAAAGAGGGATATAAAGTTGGCTCAAGCTTTTGGTTAATGAGTTGGATAGCATCAGATTTTGTGAAATATATTTGGGCATCTAAAATTTATTTGGATTTTGTACAAAACCCAAATTATTTTTATTTTTATTTTTGTGGTTTAAGGCAGCATATGCATGGCTTGAGTCAGGGTTTCAAAGCCAATTGTCAATTTGTCATCATTAAGGAAAGCCCTTCAGTTTCTTAGTTTTTGAATTTGACTCTGTCGCTATTAATCTCTCCCGTTTCGTTCATGCATCTAACAGTAGTGTGACAAAGTTGAGTGATCAGCTATGACAACTCAAATCCCAACTGGAAATCGAACCTAAGGCCTCAAATATTGAGGTAAATGCTCATAAATCACTTGAGTTATAAGCCCCTTCATCAAATTCCAACCGGATTACTAAAGCGTTATATAGGATTTTACCTTGCTTATTAAGCTAATTTACTATACTTTCCATTGTTTTCATATGCACAATTAGAGCTGGGTCGGTAAGAAAACAAATGACAAACTGCTATATGGTGATTTTAATATGTTACTATTATCTGCATATTTGCCTGCATGCCCTTTGTGGTATGTAATTAATCACTCCAAACTATATTTCTTTTTATTCTTCTTCTAGCTTGGAAATTTCTAGCACTACCAAATATGGTTGGTTACCCTGAATTTGTTGTGGTTCTACCTTTAAATTAAATTAGAAATTACTTATCAAGCATTGCTTCCTTTTAATCTTATTTGGGTTGTGCTTTCCATACCTATGTTTTGCCATCTTTATTTGAACATATATCAATTTTGTACAAATTTGAACCTTTGGAAATCTATAAAACACAACCCATATTTATCGTAGTTTGATTCTCATGAAGTATATATCAACTAACTCTTAATTTAGTGTTTTTTTCTCTTTGTAAAATTAAAAAGATGTTTCCAACTCGAAACTCCTCTCCCGCCCATTGTTGAAAGAAAAAGTTTAGGGGGTATATGCACATTTTGGTGCAAATTTAAAAATAATTTATCATTTTATTCAAGCATGTGGGCCTACCTGGCCCAAGAAAACATAAGCAGATAGCCTTATATGGTGAATGGGCCCAAGCAATCAAACGCACCGTATTGGGCCTACGGCGTCCACACATGAAGTCCGACAAATACATATATCTCGCCATCGTCATCGAGAAACCACAAACACCGTCTTCAATTCAAGGATTGCGTAGTCGAAACGCAGCGTTTCATCTTTCCCAATTACAGAGAGAGAGCGAAAGAGAGAGAGAGAGAGAGAGAGGGCCTTGAGGTTGAGCTCTGATGGCGGGAAAACCACAACCGGTTCGCGTACTGTATTGTGCGGTGTGCAGTTTGCCTGCAGAGTACTGTGAATTCGGGCCCGATTTCGAGAAATGCAAGCCCTGGTTGATCCAGAACGCCCCAGACCTTTACCCGGATCTCGTTAAAGGTTCTATTTTGCACCCAAACCCTAATTTCTTCTGTTCAGTTTTAATCACCCCGCTTATTTTCTTATGATTGCTCTGTTTTGTTTTCTTCACTTGCTATATGTAATAAATTTGTCATCTTTTTTGTTAATAATTTAATTATTGTTTTTATTTTGGGCAGAGGCTAATGCGAAGGAAGCTGATAAAGTAGCCAACCAGTTGCAGTCTACTGGTATATCTTCTGGTGGAGATGGAGCTGCTTCTTCAGGTAATACTGTAAATATGTGTACAGGTGTGTGTAGCAGTGTATGTTTGTATTTAATAATGAATTTATATGTTTATGTGCATGTGCATGTGTGTTACTATTTCTGGTCTGGATTGGATAAGTTATTAGTATATGTACATATTTACATACGTGTTTGTGTCTCTGGTATGTGCAATGCATAAACATGGTACATATTGTATAAGATGTATCCGGGCGTTTGTATGTATGTTGTGATTGTTATTGTTCGTTTGGCAGCTATAAAATGAGTTGGGATGTTTCTCTGTTTGTTTCTTTGTCTTTGTTTTTCGATTTAAATCTATTTGGAGAGAATTGTTTTCCACTTTGCAAATTCCAATTATAACGAATTTCATTACCCCCACTATCTCTCTCTCGGGGTTGGTGGTGGCACTTCAGCACCTAAGCAAGAAGAAGTCAAGCGTCTTCCAGGCGGGAAGATTAAGAAAAAGGTGAGACTTTTGAAATTATTTGTTTTTGAGGATCTTTAGATTACAATTATTTAAACTTGGTATTGGCTTTTCTGTAGGAGAGGCAAGAAGTTACTATTGAAAAGATGACGCGTAATAAGCGAAAATGTATCACCACTGTGAAAGGGCTGGAGCTTTTTGGTGAGCAATCTTCTGCTTTACATCCTTTGTTTTCCCAAAGATTCTTATTTTGTTTCTTCTGTCATTAACTTAGTGCCTTTGATTACAATTTAGGTGTCAAACTTAGTGATGCTTCAAAGAAATTGGGGAAAAAGTTTGCCACGGGAGCCTCTGTTGTTAAGGTTTGATAGACTTTAAGAAGCGATTTTGAAATCTGTTCTGCCATGTGTGGTTATGCTTGTTATGATTAATTTGGAATAATTGGTTTCAGGGGCCAACTGAGAAGGACCAAATTGATGTTCAAGGGGATATAGCCTATGACATTGTGGAGTTTATTACAGATACCTGGCCTGATGTAAGCTACTACACATTGTTTTCTCTTTCTCCAATAGGATGTGTTATTTTCTCTTTCTCCAATAGGATGTGTTGTTTTCACCTTTTATTCAAACAGAAGTTCTTCAGTGTTCCCATAAGAACATTCACCTCTTTAATGTGTTTTATGTAAGAACTTAGGTAAAAGTAGAAGTACTACATGCTAGAAGTGAGTGAATGAGGATCCCAGTATAGTTGTATGAATCCAATAGGATCTTCACAGCCTTGGACGTCTCTTAAACATTGAGTTGATAAATGAAAAACTAAAGCATCACGCATATAAACAGCAGCCACAATTGGACTTTGGGACGTATCCACCATTCAATGTCAAAATTTTCTGTTTTTGATGCCTGCTCATACTGGTTCTGCTCCTTGTTTTGAACTTCTTTTGACATTGTTTTGAATTTTATTATTATGAGTCCATGAATGATTGCAAGGGCTAGCACCATGTTTAGGAATTGTTTTTAACGAATTCTTTATAATGGCCAGGGCATCAAGGATTATCCTTTCATGCTTCTTTTTCTCTACTTTTGTACTAGAGGGAGTTATTTAATATTCCATTGAAGACCAAAAACCTTGCTTTAGCCTTCCGATGATCAAATATGCTTATGTAGATGCCTAACCTAAATATCAAATCTGAATATAGACATCACAAGTTGTACTAATTTTTTTTCTTCAATTTAATTGTTTAAAATAAAAAAGTTAAAATGTAATGCTGTATTTAGCATCATTAATGGCTTTAATTGATGTTGGAATTGAATTGTGGACTCCTTGACTGTGAAGATGTATTCCTAATTTGTTTGCCATGAATTGAACATGTACTTAAATCATACCAAAAACCCAAAAACAAACATTTATCTGAAGAAAACAATTGAGAAGGTCCTTTGTTTGATTGTTCCCCCACCCCGTCTTTTTCTAGTTACGATTTGGTAGTCTTTTGTTCTTTGATAAGATCACTTTATACAGCCTGTTCGGTTGAAGTTTTAAGATGTGTTTAGTTTACAGTACCTAAAATAACAATATATTCTTCTTCTTCTTCTCCTCCTTTCTCAGGTCCCAGAAGCTGCAATTTTCTTTATAGAAGATGGCAGAAAGGTCCCAGCTGCTTGAATGGTATTTGTGGCACACAAATAAAATGGAGCATGTTATCTTCAAAGTAAAAGGCCGCTGGACATACTCTCTAAAGTTCCAAGAGTCCAACAGCCAGTGAGACTTTTGCCCCACTCTTCTCTTGTTATCTGGGTTGCAAGAATAGTGTATTTTTTTTGAGTTAAAACAGTGTTTCAAGATCCATGATTTGCTTTGTATAGGGGCAAAATTCTATGTGCCACATTGCTCTGTTTTTGTGTGTCACATATTACCTATAGGTAATTTTAAAGAAACAGGTTTTCTCCAGTATATCGCATACATAGTTTATCGTCGTGATGCAATACTCGGCTGATGCGTCTTGTAAACTTGCTGCTTCTGTGAGTTAGCAAAATGAGAATCAGAATCATATCCAAAATTTTGAGTTACCAAATGAATTTCATTCCGTACTTTTCATCTTCCACCTATCATTACCAACTGAATCTATGCAGGTTATGAAAGTTTGCCAAAACCTTGGAAGCTTCACTTTTTTCTGCCTAATAGAAAAAAGGAGAAGAAAAAAAGGGCTTTGGATGGATAGTCTATTGCTCTGTGAAGCTCTTTTCTTAACAGAGAGAAGTTTTAGCGTGTGAAACCCCTTAGATTAACAACCGTAATGCCGCATCAAACTATGTCTTCGCTAAGCAGGAAATGATTTTCCCGCAAATATTTTATCTTAATTTTATATTTATGGTAAAATGCTTGTCAAACACGCAATGCAAACCAGGGGCGCAGGCAAACGTGAAAAGACAAATTTTTCCACCGACCCAAACAGGCAGATACGAAATTGGCTCTGTTGACTACAGTGAAGAAGAGTGGTTTAAAATATATATATATATATATATATATAAAGTTATTTGATTTTGTCAAAGGAGAGTGGGTGCCATTAGAGGTGGGTTTATGAGTCCACTGGATGATGGGCAACAAATTGTGACTGTGAGGGTTTTTGTGTACCAAACGAACCCATTCTTGCAGGCCCCAAAAGCAATACTACAAAACCCACTAGCCTCTTTCATCCAAACCAAAAAAGATTTCCATTAAAAAATAAAAGATTCGAAATAAAAATGCTAGTCATACCGCATTTACCAAGTAAGAAATCAACTAGATATAAACGCTCACAGAGAGAAAATACCAAGTAATTTGAAGTGGGAAAGTTATACAAAAGGATTTATTATAGGGTAAATTTATATATATTTCCTATATATAATAAATAAATCAATAAATATTATATCCAAGCCCCCAAGGCCGCAAATACGTAAACAATGACAAGACTGCATGGTCGATGAATCTGTACGGAAGTACAAGTCCTCTGCAGCACATTGGCTTGTAAAAGAATGTTTGTGATATTGTGAATATTAATTTATCATTTGACACAAGTAATGAACTCAGTCTGCTTATCTATTCAACCGACAATTTCTTACGGAAAATACAAAGTTTATTCAAGCTCTCTTAGTCCTTGCGTAAATATGCAAAAGGATGCATTTGGAGTTTACTGATTTGATCGAGTCTCTTCTTCTTCTCCTCCTCCTCCTCCTCCTCCTTGCGTACATTTGGAAAAGCATATGCAACTTGGCCGGCCACTAAACGACGTCAATTAACGCCACTCCATGCTCCTCAAATCCCACGTCAAATTTCTTAACTCCTATTTAATGGCCATTTAATTCACTCTCCTCTCTCAACACCTCTCTCCTTTCTCTACTTGTGCTATCTTTATATTATAAAAATGGCTGAGAATTTTGCAGTGCCAAAATACTTGACCACCGTGACTTTTTTCATAGGGTTTATGATGCTATCCACAACCTGCACAAGTCTAGTCCTATTCCCACCCAAGGACATCGCCGGTATGCTTCGAAACGACACAGAATCCATCAATTCAACCTCTACAGATTATGGCCATATAGTTCAAGAATTCCCAGCTGCAGTTTTCAATCCAACGTCACCGAACGACATCGCAAGCCTAATCCTATTCTCAAACAACAATTCTGAGGCGCCTTTTGGCGTTGCTGCCAGAGGCCAGGGACATTCTGTTCGAGGACAGGACCTGGCCCATGACGGCGTTGTCATTAACATGACGGCTTTGAGCAATGGGTCTAGAATTGTGGTCTCCGAGAGCCCGTCTTTGGGTTCTTATGCTGATGTTGGAGGTGAGCAGCTTTGGATTGATGTTTTGCATGCTACACTCGACCATGGCCTTACGCCGGTTTCGTGGACCGACTACCTGTACCTGAGCGTCGGTGGAACGCTCAGTAACGCCGGCATCAGCGGCCAAACGTTTCGTTTTGGACCTCAAATCAGCAATGTCTATGAACTGGATGTTGTAACTGGTATGAACTATGAAGACTTATCTCAGCACTCTATCTTTGTTCTCTTAATTGGAATAGCCCCTTTTTCTTTTTTTCGTTTCCATTTTTTTGTCCTTATCTATGCATGAGATATATTCAATGTATTGCCATCATCCGGCTTTCACTTTAAAATCCTACCCACTATATTGCCTTTTGTATTGCAATTTGCATGCATGTTCATTGGAAATAAATGCACCTCAACAATCGTTACAAACAGACCTTGCATTAACTTCCCAAGATTTCTCAATCTGTTGTCCCTATTTATTATATGTAACAAATTTCCCAAATTTCCTAAAATCAAGCTCTTCTGATAATGAAAGTTAAAACTTGAATTTCCTTTTTATTGTTCTAAATATTACACATTTTTTTTAGTACAAGCGATCGTCTAAATTACATGAGAGGGAGTTTCTCACACACACACACAACTGAAGCCATGAGAGTTCAAACCTAAGACCTCTAGTCTGCAAATAAAGGCTCTTTTCCACTGGAATTGAACCAAGTCAAGTTTTTGGTTATTAACTATTATAGTTAGATTTGAAGACACATATTCATATAAAGTTTTCCCAGGAAAGGGGTTTAATGTGATGAGGAATTTGACTTTTTCTACAGGGAAAGGAGATTTTATAACTTGTTCCTCAACCAAGAAGCCTAAGCTATTTTATGCTGTTCTTGGAGGTTTAGGCCAATTTGGTATTATAACCAGAGCAAGGATTGCCCTACAGCCAGCTCCAAACAGGGTATGCATTATAATAGATATACTTTCATCTTTTCTTTCTTTTCTTTTCTTTTTTCTGCCTCAAAATAGGATTTGAGTTAGAGTTGACATGAACAACATATATACATTGCAGGCTAAATGGTTACGACTACTTTACAGCAATTTCAGTGCATTTTCAAGTGACCAAGAACTTTTAATCTCAACAAGTGGTAAGATGGAAAGAGATGGGTTCGATTATGTCGAAGGTCTCCTTCTAATGCAGCAAGGTCCTCTAGATCTTTCATTTTATCCAGTAGCCGATCAACCAAGAATAGCTTCTCTAGTAAACCAATACGGCGTCGTTTACACCATAGAAGTAGTCAAATATTACGATGATAGCACTCGAGATACAGTGGACAAGGTACATTATTTCTATCCTCAACTTTGAGAATTTGCATGTCATTCATTTGGCCACTACAAGAGACTAACGATTTATATTTCCTTGTACATATATATAGGTAGTTGAAAAATTGACCAATAGGTTAAGCTTTGTTCCTGGATTTATGTTCGAGCAAGATGTATCCTACGAAGAATTTCTGGATAGAGTGCGAAATGAAGAGAAAATGCTTAAATCACTTGGACTATGGGATATTGCACATCCATGGATGAATCTCTTTGTACCAAAATCACGAATTTCGGACTTCGATTCGGGTGTTTTCAAGGACATTCTTCTTAAACAAAAGGTCCCTGCCGCACTAACCCTCATTTACCCCATGAATCGAAATAAGTAAGTGTCCAATATACGTACATTCGATTACTATTCATGGAATCAAAAAATTCTGGTTTCTTTTTTCTTTTTTTTTGTTATCTAATGAAAAAAACATGTTTTACATGGTTGAAAAATGATATTGCAGGTGGGATGGTAGGATGTCTGCAGTTATTCCAGATGAAGATGTTTTCTATGTTGTAGGACTTTTGCATTCAAGTGGGTTCAATGAATGGCAGGCATTTGATGAAGTAAATAAACAACTACTACAATTTTGTCAGGATGCTGGCATTATGGTCAAACAGTACCTTCCCCATTACGAGACACAGGAGGACTGGAAAAACCATTTTGGATCAAACTGGCAAAGCTTCCAAGAAATGAAAACTAAGTCTGATCCAAACAAGATATTAGCTCCAGGACAGAGAATTTTCAACTCCTTACTGTAATTAAGTAGTGGCAGTTGGAAGTAGGGTGGTTGTTGTGCCCCCCGCTGTAATAATCGAATAGTAATAATCTAAATGTTACCACTCAGTTCATGAAAAGCTTTCATTAATTGGTTCATTTTGTCTAATTAAGAAGTCAAATTGGAGTAGGAGAATCTGAGCAGTAAATCAGAATTTGGAGAGAGTACACGGTAATAGTAGTCCAAGACTAAAAAACAAAAGAAAAAGTTTGGCTGTGAATCGAATTGAAGATTTGGAAAACCACAAGCAACCAGAAAGCATATGTGGAAGAAATCACTTGCCATGATTTGGACAATACATTGATAGTTTGGATTTTGCGAGAGATTGCATTATCATGTGAAGGATATTTTGCAAGAGATTGCATTATATCATGCCAAATATATGGACAAAACTACTGTTGCTTGCTATTTCTCTGAAGGTCTCACGTATATTGGTAGGGCTCACTTCTATTAAAGAGGTGGTCAAATTTCACGATCTATATTTATATATCTTCAAATTTCTATTTCTTTTAGTGTGAATGCATGAAATTTGAATTCTGAAACGATTTAATATCATGTTTGGCAGAGCTTTGCCAAAGTCGTCGCAGTCCACTACTTTCTTTGTTTGGATGGACAAAATTTTCATTTTTTTGGTACAAAAAAGTGAAACCAGAAGAAGAGCATGCATGTCCCAATTGAGTCCCACAGAGAAGAAATAGACACACAACTACTCATTTCTGT